AAGCGAAGAAAAGATGAAGAGGCGATTTTTTATTATAAGACATGATACCGCAATGATGTATAAAAATGCAGCGTTGAGTCCTCAAACACTGATTGTGTTTTGCCTATCCGCAGGTGCAACGCATTGCCAAAAGGAACAATAAGCTGGGATATCTGCCGGTTTCAGCCCCAGTGCAGAAATGTTTCGGCCATACTCCTGGTAACATATTTGAACCCATTATGTAAACTACAATTTGCAGAGAATGACACAATGAAACATGATGAGGAAGGTTACCTGAATATCAAGGAACAACTGCATACACATCTTGTCTGTTTCCGATACATTTTGATCAGAAACACCTGATGCTGCACCTGCTCGTCTCTGTGCATTTTGACGTAATTTCTGAAGCGATGACTCTGTTTTTCTTGCCTGTAATTTTACTACACATAAATTACTCACCATCTCTGCATCTTTATAGTAATCATAAGAATCTGAAAACGATCTTTAGGGATAGTGGTTTTCGTTTTGGCTACTAGGGTTATATTGTCAATTCAAATCCTATTTTCAGTTTAGGGTATTTCTTAAAATAGTGTTATAAATCTCAGTTTTATTATACTAATCAATAATCCTCAAAAAGTGTTTAACACAGAGTACTTACCACGCTAACAAGTTCAGCAGCTAATTCGTAATACCGCCGGGTAATTTCAGTGACAGTGCCAAGCAGTAACGCCTCCCTTGTTTCGTGGGTCAAGTAATGTCTAGCCTTATCTCCCTCCAAAAAAGCCTATTAAATGAGAAGGTGCAATAATCCACACTTCAGAATCCATCAGTCAAGTAACTATGATCATTTTTAAAATTTCAACACCAAAGCTAAATGAATACCTTTATAGGACGCAGCAGCCCGACGACGTATGGTGAGTGCCTAACAGGCAGTGGCTTATTAGTCATCCTATATGTAGCAGTTATTCCCTTGAGCTGCCTTAGGTCCTATAGGAGAGAAGAAAGCATTTACCGTTACAGAGTTAAATATGTGTGATTCTTGGAGAATAACTCTAACCTAATTCAGCAGTACAGCAAATTCTACGCAACATTGTTCTTGCAGGTGTCCACTAAGGTAGCCAAACAAATCTTGAAGTTTATAAATTAAACAATGGATCTAATGCTTTTTCAGAGGTTTACCTCAACAGATTTATCAACAATGACGTCAATTATTGTCTTGGTAACTAAAGGTAGGACTTTCTCTAATGATGCCCCACCCTGTTCTATGCTCATCCTCACCACATCAAGAACTTCAGTGGAGCATGAAGATAAATACTGTGATATATGTCCAAGGTAATCGCCACAAACTTCTGAGACTAGACAATTTACATCATGTATAACCTGCCAGGAAGGAAACATGTAAATATTCCAAAACAAAAATCAAACGATCAACATATGGTCTATGTGATCTGTTTTCATGTATTTATGTGAAAAGCAGATATTCCGGGTTTACTTAATTACCACATCATTGTTTTCATCCTATTTTAAGCATAATGGAAATTAAGCTATCCCACAGAACATAACTGCAGCTGATTATTAAACCCGAAATTGCAGAAATCCCAAAATGTCCAAAATAAGAGGAGCTCAGAAACAATCCACATAAGAAGTAACTTACATATACAAAATCTTCTGCAGTGGCTGAAACTGCCCATTCAGATCCAGGACTCGAGCTGGCATTACTCTTTCTAGTATTCAGCGCAGATGACACCCAAATGCTATATCTACATGTCATTAACACATAATCAAATTTAGAATTGAAACAAAAACTAGTAAACGTGTATAATATTACAGTCAAATTTCACAAACCTTGAAAGAAGCTGCAAGGTCAAGCGAAGAAATTTATCAGCAGCAGAGAAAACAAGAACATCTTCTTTCCAGCACGACCGCAAGCACTCCAAAAGAGTATCACTCTGTCTGAGAATTAAGTTGAGCGAACTCCGTTTATCTGAATCCTGAATGAAAACCAGAGAAGGAGAAGTAAGAGCAGAATCCAAGGCTCCAGCTATCTCCTGAAACCTGAAATTATGTATTTTCGAGTTAGAGAAGCTGAAAACCACTGATCTAATGGTAAGTCGACAGCCATCTATGATATCTCTCACGTACCTCAGTGAAAAATATACTCCCACATTCCATTGCTTCATGAATTCGATGCAAATAGCTTCAGCTCGAAACTTAGTTACAGCAGATCTTGACGGACAATAACCTTCATGAGAAGTATATGGTATGAGTCAACTGAAAAATATCCAAATAATTTCATCACCTAGTATTAAATTAAAATTTATGCTTACATATGACACATGAATATCAGTTCACAATGCATCTAATAAGCTATGTGATCAAGCTCATAGGAAGATATACATCTACCTTCAAGATATGCCAGGAAATCCAAGCTTGCCTTGTAATTCTTCAAGAACTCAGTAGGCCTTCCAGGAGAAAACGCTCCTGGTTTGACTTTCTGGATTGCCCAAAAAACTTCTTTCAGGATTGAATTTGCCAAGAAGTCGAAGACATGTAAACCCGACTTGTCTGTTGTAGCACAAGAGAACAAGCACAGAGTACGATGAGTAAAATATAAAACGACACCACTAAGAAGGAAAGAAGCTATGAAATCTAGGTTACTGTGTTAGTTGGGTAAAATTTTTCTTAGAATGTTTAATAGGAAAACAAATTTTCCAGAGAAACATGGAACATTATAAAGGCGATTGGATATCTGCAACATATATGATCACACAGCGATTTGCGTGAATTACCAGTTGAAGATATTTCTAGCAGCATTTTACAGTCCTTAGCAATAAAATGCTTGATCTGTTTGTAATCGTTTTCAAGTTCATCTCCCGATGTTCCAGCAGCATCCGTTGATGTTTCATGTGTAATAATTTTCTGTATAAATGGAGCCACAATCGTTGTACGAAAAATTTCTTCTGCATTGTTGGTGTTATCAATGGCAGCGTATGCACGTAAGCAGTTGTAAAGGACACTTGTATCGCTGTTGTTTAGCCCATCAATGAAGCAATGACCAAGGCTAGCATCCAATAACACACTAGCGCTCTGAATCCTCTTCTCCATGTTCTCAATGAAAGGCAGGTTCTGTACTGGCAATGGCATAACAGAAAAAGTAGTGAGTATCAGCCATAAGACTTTCTATTGTCTTCTGAGGCTAAACAAGTATACTGTAGTTTTTGCAGAACACCAGAGATTTCACAAGATTTAACTATGTAGCATCTCATGTAACCTATTTTTTGTCAGCAATCTTCTCAAAGCCAATGAATTCTCCTAGCAGCACAGCCATTTCTCAAGCCCTATGTTCATAGCTAGTTTGATCCGCAATGTACTATTCTTAAATGCAGTATACTCGAAGCTGCTTGTAAGAGGAAGGGAGGAGCATTTCTAATGTAATCTATACTTTGAGATGGACAGAGAATTGTGACTTTGCAAAAAGAAAAAAAAAAGTAAATGCATGATGGAGACCTGTGCATGAGCCATATAGAACTTGAGCCGATTCATTTCACTAGCAATTCTTTCCAAAAGCATGCTCTGGGTTTCTCTCATGGTTGTGCCATCTTGCTGCGTTGAATTCTCATAATTCATAGAACTCCTTCCCATGGAATTCGCATCCTCGTTTTGCCAATCAGAAGGAGTACTTGGTAGAACTTTAATAAGTTTTTCAACCTACATTTACAATGAATAAGCATTATTTACGTCAAGCATTCAGATTATCTAAAACCAAGAAAAAGAAAAAAAAGCAATGGAGAAACATCTTTGCTCAGTATAAACGGAACTACAATGCAAAACCATTAAGGTTCACACATAGATCAAACTTGCATTGAGGACATTTAAGAAGCTATCTTCAAGCGTAAGATCGACAATCTTACTCAAATCCCGTGATCTAGATCTATAACAACCAAAGTAAATAATCGCTGGAACATGTAACCAATGACAAGCAGAAGCAGACTCGAGGATACACTTGCTGAGTGGAAAATTAAGATTGAGAAACCAAAATCATGTACCTTGGATACCACATGAAATGTGTCCAGCAACAATTCGAGAACCTCCCTGGCAGCAGCAGCATCAGAACGCTGCTGCAATCCATTCCTTAGTGAAAAAAGTGCTGCCTCCACAGATCCACGAAATCCAGTGATCTTCTCACGGAGCTCAAGGAGCGGAGCACGCATACGAACCACAGCTGCATCGATATCTACGAGCTTAGTGCTTAAATTCACGAAATCGGCATAATCTCGATTGATGAGATCAACAAGTTCGCGGTTGAGGGATGCAAGGTGTGACCGGAGCTCGGATCGGAGAGTGTCAAAGGGAACGAAAGTACGGAGCTCTGAGATGTAGGACTCGGAGTCGAAGTTAGGGGAGAGGAAGAGGGAAGGCTTGAACCATAGAGGATGAGAGTCGTAAGGATCGGAGAAGAAATCTGTGGCGGATCTCGGCGCTGAAGACGGCGACGGCGACGTCGCGACCAGATCTGACATTTTTCGCTTCGCTGCTTCCTCTGAGTGGGAAATGCTTCTGTTATACAACTGCATCGACTGCTTGCCGAATCCAAGTTATAGAGATGAACTGCGTGTCGGCACAAGTGCCTGCTCAATCTAACCAAACCGGAGGATCAAATAACTCGGTTTGGTCGACCCTGTGTAAGATCAAAATTGGTTATATACGATGCATGTTTATTTGAAAAGTCAGAGAAAATGTCGAAAAAGCTTTTTCTGTCGCCAGATTTAATATCATTCGGGATATGGATATCATCTAGGAAAAATTATTAACAGTAATGGATACTGCTATTGTGGAAAATCCTCAAGATATTCCAGCTAACACGGTTTTAATTGACAAGTTAACCGTAATCAAAATCAACTAATCAAGGTGGAGGAGATTTCTTGCAATCTTTGGTTTGGCAAGATTAGGTTGCAAATTCTTATTACCAACCAACTAAACCGGTTGTAATCTCAATTAAGATTTCAGCAAAGATAGTTCGATAGATCGAAAAAGTCGCTGAGTAAAAATTTTGTATTAACTGTAAGGTTCAAACAAGTATCAAAATTCCGACTAAAACCGGTTATCCGGTCAGAACTCACTACCATACCCTAAGCAGCTATAGGACACAAAACATCTAATTCAACCTATTTCACTTATTGTTTTATTCTATTCACTTGAAAAAATTATATTCAACGCATTCTGCTTGCAACCAGGAGCTCTTTTTGAGACAAAAATTGAGTTATGGTTTCTAAAATATAGTCAATCCCACTCCTACATGTAGAAGCTGAATGATTGCTGCTTTCTGTATCCACCTTCCCCGTAGAGTTCGTTCCATTGTTGAAGCGTTGTCATGTTCGCAGACTCTATTAAGACGCTCGCACACACCTGATTCAACACCAATGACAATGGTTATAGTTTACTGAGCCCAAACACGATATGAAATAAATTTTAGTAAAAAGAAAAACAGCATAAGCAAATCTTACCCGCTCATGTGCGTATCTGAAATCCTCCATGTTTAAAGCTCGGAGATCAGAACTTCCTCTTAGAGCTGGAGGAACTTTGCCTTCAGCCAGAGCAGCATCTCGCTCCTGCCATATAAAATCCCATCATGAGCAAATTTTATTCTATAGACAAGTTTAGGCAACATAAAGTTTTCTTGGTCCAGTACAAAGAAAACTTACTCTTTTTTCCTTCTCCAACAGCTCCTTGATTGGACGGTGGGCAGCAGTAACACATAGATTCTGAGCGCACCAAAAGAGAAAATAATATGAGCATTACTTTGCCTTTCTTATCATTTTTGGCAGACCATAACAAAGGTTAATGGAATTGCTAGGAATTTACCTTAAGATCACTTCCAGAATATCCATTAGTCATACTAGCAATCCAATTAATGTCCAAACCAGGGGACACGTTTTCTTTTGCAAGTATAACCTTTAATATATACGCTCTATTTGAAGTATCTGGTAGTCCCACCATCAACCTGCAGAAGTCAATACCACAAAGTTTTCACAACCTAATAACTGTCATGTCAATTTGACAAAAAAGCTTAGTCCAACAAGGAAGCGATTTATAATTTACCTACGGGGCAACCGTCTAATGACAGCCTCATCAAGGTCAAAAGGCCGATTTGTGGCTGCAAGAACCAGAACACGTTCCATTTGCTTAGTCGTTAGACCGTCCCAATGCATCATGAACTCATTTTTCATCTTCCGCATGGCTTCATGTCCCTGTCGGTTTTCTCTTCGGCCTAGCATGCTGTCCACCTGCAAGACAGTAAAATATTGTAAGACTGTCAGTGCTCTGATTACAAGCAAAATTCGCCCAGGAATTAACCATGAGAAATTACCTCGTCCACAAAGATAACGCAAGGGGACATTTTACTGGCCAAAGAAAAGACAGCTTTGACATACTTCTCACCCTCACCAAACCACTGCAGTATTGAGAAGAACACAAGTTTGAGCAAGAGATTCCCGTGTATAAATCGGTAGAGTCTAACTTTTCATAGGGTATTCAGTTACCTTAGATGTGATGCTTGACATTGAGATGTTGATGAAGTTCGCAACAGCTTCCTTTGCCACTGCTTTTGCAAGCATGGTCTTTCCAGTACCAGGAGGTCCAAATAAGAGAATTCCTTTACAAGGCTGCATAAATAAGAACAAGAGCGGACTGATTAAGAAGCCACCAATGCACAACGTTAACAACTAATATTTAGGAGAGAAGAATTATTGAGAAAGACAAATTAGCAGCTAGTTTAACTAATATCATCATTACTCCACAAAAATCATGTAAGTATCGCAAAGAAAAGGTGTTTCCTTCATATATCTGTGATAAACCCGAGGCAGGACCTAGTCAAAATTATGGGAGCTTTCTGAAACCTAATGCGGAGAAGAGAACCACCTTTGTTAATTGCCCCTTGCAGAAAAGTTCAGGCCGTTGTAAAGGGAGCATAACCAGTTCCTTTAAGGTATCTTTGACTTTCTCAAGTGCCCCAATGTCATCAAATGTAACATCAATGTCACTGGGCAGAATTACATCACTTAGAAGCCTCTCTTCAAACTCATTTTCTGTCACAATGTCCTAAAAGCAACAGAGAAAATTAACAGTTTTTACATAATAGGAGCAATTGCCATAATGAAAATAAGTAAACAACATTTCAATTTCCAAGGAAATTTGCAAACCTTGAGAGACCTCTTTGAGCTCCTAGAACCTTTAAGATCACCCTGTAAGAGTCCTATTCCAAATTCTATGCTGCAAGGATCCAAAGTTCGCACTCAATACACTGAGACAGATATTTATGAGCAGTAATGCACAGGGACAGGCTGCCAATTACCTCTCACGAGACAAAATAATCTTAGCTGGATCAGTATCAGGGTTATTGCTTATATGGTTACTAAAAGCCCATCCAATGATCTTTTCTGCACCTAAAGCAGAAAGGAAAAGTCAACTCTTTGGAAAAGCATTAAATTGTCAATTATGCCGAACAAAGAGAAAACATACTGTCGCTTTGAAGTGTGAGATCCTTCATGCACAGCGTCTCAATTCCTTCACATCCCAGACCACATAGTCCTAACACCTGAATTGAGATGCAATTATGGAATCTTGTACACCAGAGAAAACGTAACATATTCTAGAAGGTCTGCTATCAATACATTATTTTCATGAGATTTGAGAGTCAAGCAATGAAGTTTTGAAAATAGATTTCACTTTTCCTAATTACATATTAAGTTCAAGAATATAGCCAAAAATCATACCATATATATTCAGATGGAAGACATACCATGCGCAAGTGATTGAAATTAGCCTTCACTTTCGAAATCTCAGCATCACGATCCATTTGATGCTTCCACAATGTAAGAAGTTCCTCATCCTGGGGATAATTAGCTCCATCAAGTATAAGGTTTCTTTGACAGAAAACAGACAAGAATGCTTATGTGTAGTAGAACAGAGTAACAGACCTGTGGCATTTGAATAGGAACTTTATTCTCAAAGAGCTCCGCTAGAAGTTCTGTTGCCTGTGGGACTTCATTCCCTTGCTCCTTTTGTCGTCCAATATCCTAGGAATATAGAGCGAAAGTAACATGAGTCCCACTCTATAAGAAAAGGGATACCCTCCGGATTCACACTAGCCAGTTGAAATAACAATCACTTTCAGTATGTTTCAGAACTGAAAGCCGGCTAGAAAACAGAACTGATAACAGCTAATGTAAACTCAATATAAAAGTCTACTTCAACCTATGAAATACAGAAAATGCTGAAAAAGATATTGTGGCAATGATTTTAATAACTTGCAAATTGAGCAAAGCATAGCATCGCACAGTAACTACCTTCTCCATGAGATGATCAGAGTGTGTCTGTGAACCGATCACAATTACGTTGTCTGGGAGATATTCAAGTCTGATTTGGAACGCAGAGTACAAATCGGAATTTCCAACAACAGATTTCTCAGCATCTTTCAAAAATAGAATTAACGGACGAGTTCTGCTCTCAGTATGGACAACCTGGAAACAGATAAAAATATAAGCACAAGGAAAAAAAAAAATTCATTACTTTGCAACTGAGAAGTACCTCAAACAATGTGTTAACAAGTAATTTAGCTAGAGCCTCAGAACTCGAGCTTTTGAACTTCAGATCAGTAGCTATAAAAAACAGAAGAAACATTGTGTGAGACAAGAGCTGCTGAGCCAGTAACCAATGGACTACTGAACATGAAGCAGAAGTACCTTTGCAGAAGAACCCATGTCCTGTTTCACACAGTTCACCAAGATCAACTCCATCAGGTATTGGCTTATCAAATCTAACACCCACTTTAGCTGAAGGATTCTCATCAAATACTAAAATTACTTTCCCTGTAATCCCTTTAGGAGGTCCCCTGAATAAGATTAAGTAAAAAGTGGATCATTAAGTTAAAAGAGTGGATATAAAAAGGCAAGAGAAAAAGTTAAGAAGATAAATTCGTAAGTCTTACTCACAAAAATCCAGAAATTTAGATAAAATATAAGATATATACTTTTTGGATGTATATAAAGTAATTCATCAATAAATCTTTGCTTTTCTAATAAAACAAGACACTTTCTTCATCAGAGCAGACAAATATTCATATTCATACTATATAGAAACCAATATCAGTATTATTATAAGAAGCAAACCTTAAGCCTAAGGTAGATGACCCCGAATACAACTCAGTACCGACGAATTTTACTCTGTCACCTGCAAGTGTTTTTTTTTTCAAATGAAGTATCCGCCAACCAGAAATCCAAGAAGATTGAAGTAGAATCTTCTGTTGCAGACAATGTAATGGGGCATGCCTTTCTTCAAAGTATGATTCACTGAAAGAGGCAAAGTCTCCGGTTCCAAATTTAGCTGTGAGTCAGAACTAGAAGAAGCAGCCGGAGAAGGGCTAGAAGCAACTCCTCCACCAGCTGACAAATCCGGGCTTTTCCCTTGATCAATGAGCTCAATACTCTGATTGGGAAGCTTACATGACTTATTAGAAGCAAGTCCATCCCTCAGTGACTCAATTTCCTTAGCAGCCAGAGCCTGCAGGAAATTGCAGAACGGATGCACCAAGAATTACTTGCGGTAATCTCACAACCCGTAATCAGGAAAATAGACAAACAAGTGTAGATGCAAAACCTTTCCTCTTGTAAACTAACAATCATATAAAAAAACAGCTTATATATAAGTAACACATACAATATCTTACCCCCAAAATTGAATGGCTGTCAAATATTAGCAATTTCGCGTCCAGGTCATTGGCAAGTGCTTTAGCTAACGTCTCTTGGTATATTTCAGACCCTGAAACAATTCCAACCAAAAAGCGAAAATGATGTTGCCCGCCTAAAAGAATTACAGGAACCACACAAGCAAGATACCACACAAACCTGCGGGACCAGAAAGCAATATCCTTGGATTCAGATGGGTCATGTCGGAGACAAAGTGGGCATATTCTTTTTTCTTCAGATGTATAAATGAAGCATGTATTAAGGTAGCCTTTGTATATTCACTGCAAAAAGAAAACCTTAGTCAGCATACACAAAAAACAGAGAACAGTACTTTAGAACTCAAATGCAAAGACAAGAAAACATATGATTCGTGTGAAAGACTGCAAAGGGAAGGATAGACTCAAATACATCAGAAAGGGAATTAAAATTCATGATAATTCAAATTTCAGAGAAAGAAAAACCTCAAATACACAGAATTAGACCTCAAAATTCTATGATGATATAAACAGATTCTTAATGGAAGATTCACATGCACATATCTTAACTCTGCATAAATACCTGAAAAAAATATATATGACTTGGTCCTATACCTCAAATAATAGGGAAAAGTTTTGATTGAAACTTCCAAGTTTTCGCCTTCAACAATACCAGCTTGAATGCCTTCTCTGACTATTGCAGATTGCAGACCATTGCCTGATGTTGAAGCTTGTTGTGAATTACTTGTCACCTCGTTCTTCTCATCTAATATCTGATACCAGCTTTGTTAATGTAATGCAAAATGCTGTTGATGACGCCAGGGTACAAGAGAAACATAGAGTATTTACCTGCATTTTGGAATCTTGGTTGTGGCTACTGACTGCTCCCATGCCGTCAACTTGGACCACAGACTCTGGCGCTTGGTGGCTCTTACTGGATTCATGGCTTGATGATTTTCGACGAGATAAGTCGTGCTTCAAGCTTTCAAGCGATGAAAAAATTGAACTACCTGTTGGATCTCTTGCCTCTCTCTCTAACTCTAGAAACTTTCCTGCAGGAACCTGAACTGAACCAGCTTTTGCTGGAACTTTAGGCAGTTGCTGATATATCTGGATAGAACTTAAGGGGAAAACTTATGTGTATTCATATGGAGATATCAACTGAAGGAATATTTTCTTCTTGCACATTTTTATACAGGAAAATAAAAGTGGAATCACATGAGGGTACGAAAGCATAGGTTTTCCTGCTAAAACGAATAACCACTTCGTCACCAGAGTTTAGCACATGGTTGACTTTCTTCTCTACATATATTCTGTTTACCAACACATATCCCCTCTTTCCTGTAGTCTCTAGAACCGCTACAACATTGCCTTTGCGCTGAACATGTGCACAAACAATGAGAATACATACTGCATAAGGAGTTCTCATATCTTCACAAACAACTCAAAAGTAGAAAAACAAGCAGGCATTGCATAAGCCAGTTTATTACTGAGTTGTACGAAACAGGAACAAATCTCAAAATCCAGCAGTGCTAATGTTTGAGCGTAACATTCAAGGAAACAAAACAAATACCTGAATTCTTGTGATCTTGAACAAGTATGAACTGAGTTCCCGGTCTTCGAATGTGAAAGAGCAGGTTACACTAGAACCAACAGTGTAGGTTGATTGAAAAATTTCAATGCTTGGATACTGAAAATTCATAAGTAGCTCAATTTGTCAGGATATTGCATCCACAAAAGCGTTAGATATATAAAGACACTTAGATCCAATAGGTGATTAATTCACCTGTGCAGACTGTGATATCAATCGACACCACGGGAACTCAAACTTACTGTGTAAGTATATCCATCTTGCAAAATTTGCATTCTCTTCCAAAATCGGTGTTGAGCCTACAATCCAAACCAGAAAACAAAGACGAATTGAAAAAAGAAATCTCAAAGGAATAAAAATTGGGTCCAAGAGCATAAAGATCGAACAAGAATAAGAGCAACGGACCTTCCGCAACCGGTGGTGGTTGCGCCGTCGTAACAGCCACCGCATAGGCATCAATCTTGGCGTCTTCGGAGGTTGAAGTATTGTCGCCTAACACGCATTTACCAGAATCCGCAGGAGGTAGTGTATCGGTTTCTTTAGCCGCCGAAGCGCCGCCACCTTCCAACTGAAACGAAAAGGGAAATCCCCAAAATCGCCAAAATTGTTCAAACCAGAAGCTCCAGATGACACGGAAAGATGAAGAAGAAGTAAGGTCTCCGATCAGAAACCTTTTGGCGTTTGGATGGAGATTTATCTGCTGGAGAAGGTGAAGGTCTCTTCTCGCTGCTTCCGTCGGGAGGGGGTGAATTGTTGTCGCCGGAGGTAGATTCACTCCGTCCCGGAGACACCATGACTCTTCTTGATCTCTTTTCTTTCTTCCGATTCTTTCAATAGCAAGACTTGCGATTCTTTGAGAGTTGAAGAATCAATGCGAGAGATGGATTTTGAAAGAACGTAACAAGAAATGTGAGAGCTTGTGTAAATTTGTGTATATATAGGCCTTTCTCGGTGGGAAAAAATCATACACAGTAGAGAAACTTTGATTGGTTTACTCAATATAACCAAACCCAAACCGATCCGGTTCAGTTTTGCCCACCCCTGGTTTTAGGTCGAACCAGTCCATATGACACAAGAGAGCCTGGACTAAGCAATAAAGGTCGGACCAATAGAAAGTGGTTGCTCGAACTCACCACAACCTCTTTCTTCCCAAAATGGCGCCTCATGAAATTCGCCGTCCTTTCAAACGTCGACCAATCTCCGATCAGCAGAAACGCCGAGAGCTTTCCCTTCTCCGTCAGACTCAGCATCGCAGTGACGCTCAGCAGCGAGCCCGAAACCTCGCCTCTTCCGTAATCTCGCTCCAATCCTCCTCGCCCGATGTCGACCCGGAGATATTATCTGAAGCCGAGCTCAACGAAGGAACCGAATTGGAATCGAGTAGCTTTGACGTTCGTCAAGCTTCGAGGCTCAGAGGACCTGAGGCACGCAAGTGGTTCGCAAAGCAGCTAATGTTACCTGAATGGATGATCGACGTCCCTGATAATTTAAGCCAAGATTGGTACTGCTTCTTTCTCATTCTTAATCCGTTGTTGCTGGTTCTCTTGCTTCATAAATGGCTGATTATGTTGGCTTTTTAGGTATGTGTTAGCAAGACCAGCTGGAAAAAGATGTTTTGTAGTTTCATCTGATGGAACAACTGTTAGTAGAGTACGCAATGGATCTATCTTGCATCATTTCCCTTCTGCATTGCCTGGTGGTGCCAGGAAAAAAGGCGCTTCTGGACCCGCAAATTCGTATTCTATACTAGACTGTATCTTTCACGAGGTTAAAGATACTTCCTTGTCACTGATTTATCGGTTTATCCTCAGTTTTGATCTTACCAGGAGGTGGTTGTAACTGTTTTTTTATGCAGTCGGATCAAACATACTATGTGATTGATATGGTTTGTTGGAGGGGTTACTCGCTTTATGAATGTACAGCAGAGTTCAGGTTCTTTTGGATGCAATCGAAACTTGCTGAGACTGGTGCTTGTGATCCGCCTTCCTTTTACCACAAGTTCAGGTTCAGTGCTGTTCCTTTTTATAACTGCGACCAAAGCGGACTTCACTCAGCTTATACAGGATCATTACCTTATGTCAAGGATGGATTGTTGTTTTATAACAAGTAAGTGTATCATATCATCTCGCCTACTTGTAAGATGCCATTAAGTTTACTGCTGTTCCCATCTTTCCTTCTCCTGCTGTCTGCACTTGCAAAAAGTTTGGGTGCCTTAAGGTTTGTAGTTGCGAATCAGTTGTTTTCTTGTTAATCTAGTGCTGGACTATTGTAACTAGCCTAGAAGTTGTGTAGTTAATTGTAGCTTTTCCATCTCAGCAAAGTACCTTAAGTCGTTAGTTGAGAGCTGAAGGTTTTGAAGGTAAATTAGGAAATACATTTGGTTATGATGGTATAGGGTAGGGTTTTAGTTTGGACAGTAGGGTCGATAACCGGGAACTTCTCGTTAAAGAAGTTCTTCCAAACTTAATAACTTCGTATCAAAACCATTGGTTATGATGAATGATGATAATATTAGAAAGGAGGACAGATGTTTAATCCTCTGTTTTATGAATTTTACTGTATAATGTCACTGGTTCCTTCATACTCGTGGTAGTATCATGATACCAATGTCTCATTAGTCTAGTGTTCTTCTTTGACTCTTTCCCCACTAAAGTTCATGTAATTCGCAGACATGCACATTATCATACTGGAAATACGCCTCTGGTGTTGATATGGAAGGATGAGAGTTGTAGTCAGTATGTCATCGATACAGATAACAATGGAGAAGTTCCACATCAACAACATGTAAGTGGATTTGACATTAATGTACAGCTCATGGTTTTTCATAACATATCATTCTCTCTGTATCTTGTAAGAGCAGATAGTCTTGGAGTTGCAAGAAGAAGGAAAACTTGTAACATCAGATGATCCACCTGTACCATTCAGTTGCTTAAACGCAGATTTTGTCAAACAGGTATGTCAAAAATATAAAAGAGTGATTTTTATTTCCTGATCAGCCTTTAAACCAAGATTATATGATCAGCCCTTTGGACAAACTGAAAATTGTAGGAACATATATATATTCTTCTTTTTGAAATACTGTGTCTATGTTTGTTATAGACTCCATGTACTGGTAAGTTAGTGATATTGCTTAGTAATATCTTCTTTCTAGGACCAACAGAACCCTCCACTCTCTAGATTAGCACTGCTCTGTTTGTTTTAGACCTGTGTACTCGTAATATCAGATTTTAAATTAGCTTAAGGATGATTTCGCATTGTGTTACTTTGCTAAATGTGTGGTTCGTGCCATGTTGGATATTACAGTCAGGACTGTCTTCAGGAAGTCTTATTCGCTTTGCCATTGGCAATGGAGGGCTGAAGTGTGTGGATGGTAGATTTGAGAAGGCGGATTTGCAATATATTAGTGTGTCAAATCGAGCCCGAGCCTTTGCTGATAGCTATTCCAAGGTTGGTACTCTCTTTCTTCGCATATGGCATACGAACATTAGGAGAATACTGTTTATGAATTAACTCAAGCATTTCCAATCCATCTTGCAGATCATGTTTCAATATATGGCCCGACATTCTCCTCTGAAAGTAGAAGATCTTGCATCTACGATTTCACATGAGAACCAACAAGACAAGCCCCCTGAAGTGGAGATGTCCGATTGACGAGAAGAGAGTCAAAGTATATTGTTTGGTCACTGTGTTGTGTTCGTGCAAACAGAGGGAAGCAAATTTTTAAACTTGTAGCCACCTTTTTTTGGCTTCTCACACAATTGTTATGATGTAAGATAGTTTGTTTTATGAAAATGAGAAGAAAAAAAAATCATTACTTAAATTGTGTGCAGAGTAAATCCCTGCAATTGAAGAAATCAATAAATATTGTTCAATAGAATTGCGTAAAAGCCTGTTAAAAAAAGAATACTAAGAAGCTAATTGTTTGAAGGAAAACTATGTAATAAAAAAAAAAGATCATGAAGCTGATGTGGTGGGCTCGCAGCTATCATGAGTGCAAGCCAAAACATCTCTGTAATCTCTAGAGATGTTGAAGGAGTCATACACTTGGCCAGTGCTGCTCTTCTTATACTCAAAGAGAAGTGATGAGTGATCAGAAGCAGTCAACTTCACAAACCCAAAGTCATAATCTCTGACCAAACTCCATTTGGGTACCAGTGAGCTAAAGGGAGACAAGTGACTTCCTGCACCACCAACAACAACGTGGATGGTTCCTTTGAAGGTCCCTGAGTAGTGATCCTTATCATTGTTCACACATTGGCTCTGCAATAGAAAACAAAAAGGTAAGTGAAGAGCTCAGAGAAAACACTACATCTATGAGACGGAAATCGAGCAATTTAGGATAGGATCAAACCTCGTAAATGGGGCAGGTTCGCTCATAGTTATGGACATGGCCGTAGAAAGCAAGGTCAACTTTGTACTTCTGCCACAGTTTCTGTAGGCTTTCTCTTCCCATAGGCTCTTCAAAGGTTCCTTCTTTGCCATACCAATCATTGGTGGAATAACCAAGGACACGGTGAGCTATAAAAATGAGCCAAGGCTGAGTCTTTCTATCAACAGTGGCAAGGCAATTCTCGATGAATTTGTATTGCTCTGTGCCTTCTCTCCAATCGTGTTCACTGTCTGCTACACAAAAGCGGAACATTCCGTAATCTGTTCTGTACCTGCCCATTCAACCGAAATATGTAAGATACTCTTCCGGAACTTGCAAGAAAATGTCAATGGTTAAAAACTTTACCAGAATTTAGCTCTGTTCTCAGCAGGAAAGTAGAACATGGTCTCTGCAGGAACACCACACTCTCCTCCAGAGTCTGTACCGGCATAGAAAGATCCAGTGTCTGGCCAATCACGCTCGTGGTTGCCACTGTAGTGAAAAAGGAATAACTTAAAGCACTGCAAGAGTAGAGAGGAGAAGAACAATGGTGAAGCTTTTCTTGTTGACTAACCTCGCTATCATGTAGGGGACAGTAGAAGCAATGGGCTCGACTTGAGCTGTGAACTGATCCCACTGGGAGAGATACCCATTGGAATAAGTGAGATCTCCAATGTGGAAAACAATGTCAATGTCCTTCAAGTCCTTGATGACTTGGTCTGTTGTGTTGAGGGAACCAGGCTGGTAATCATTGTACTCATTCGAGCCATCTCGCTCACCCTGAAACATATTTCAATCAAGGAAAACAATTACAGATAATAATCTGAGAGCTCATGGAGATCATAATGGCCTAAAAGAGACGATACCTTTCCCATGTCACCGAATATTATGACCCGTTGTTTCGAGTCTTGTCCAGGATAAGGAGAGGACACAAAGGTGTAATTCTTGCTCCAAATTGTCGAACCATTGACCAAGTCATGGCCTAGCCTGTATGTGTATCTGGAAACCAAAGGATTGGGAGTTACAGTTAGAAAACTATATTAGTACTCTTGCTTTAGACGAAAAAGAAGCAATCTCAAGATTTCATACTCGCGGTTTGGCCAAAGTTCTTTCAAGAAAGAAGTATGGAAGAAACCAGGATCACGCCAACCAACGCCGCGAGCAGGATTACCTGTGTAAACATAACATGCATCCACAAATCAAATCTCTAGAATGATCCAGATGAATAGTTTCAGAAAATCCAGGACTGTTGCCTCAGAGATCACAGCAAAAGATATAGAAATCAGGACATACCACACATGCTGTTTCTGTTAAAGGTCAATGTTCCAGCTGGTGATCTTCTAGCTGGAAGTCCCTTTGCACTCCATTCAATGAATGGAACAGCCTCATCTATGTTGTAACCACTAGTCCATGTCACGGTCATCTATCAAAAGCTCAAAAAAAGCATGTTTTAGCTAAAGATCCCAAACATAGCAGCTTTAAAAGTTTTGAATCTTTCTCAAGTCCCAAGGCCATTGAGTCAAGTTGTGGAAAAACTTACTTCGTCCCAATTCTTCCCTAATGCAAGACGTGGGTATAGGGGTGCTTTAGGATTGACGAAAGCTACAGGATTCGAAACACCGAGAAGGTGTGGCTGTGATATTCAAAAGATCGATAAGTCCACTTGGAATACAAACTAAAATAGTAAACTGAGAAAAACTATAGTTAACCTACAGTTTTAACCCCACTGGAAAACAGTGCAAAAGAGATATCAGCTCTCTGATTTATAATCTGGAACTTGAGAATCACATTCCCGGACTTCATATAGTCAGGGTGAGAGTTACAATACATGTACTGCCAAATAGAAAAAAAAAAGAAAAAGGAATGTTACACCGGGACTTAAATCAAGAAATCACAGGTCAAACCAAACCTTGATGGGAGATGAACATATGTAAGGAGTTTTCTCTTTGCCACCAGTTGTTGGCCAACAGTTACCCGAGCTAACAACAAAGACGAGTTAATAATAATGCACCAAAGGCACATTCACAATTTAACAAACACAGATGTAGAATAGAAAAAAATACTCGAATTTTGCTGGAGAGAAAACTCCTATCCAATCGTCTGAAGAGGGCTTGGGGTTGGAGATAGCAAGATCTACCCATTCAGTATCTTCACCCTGTAAAATCAGAGTCATGACATGAAAAAAAAAAATCAATTAAAGTTTGGTTTCTGAGATACTTAAAGTTGAAATCAAGAAGACATATTCTCTCACTAGAACAGCTAAACTCAGAATATCATACAAAATTTTGACATTTAACCATCTCATAAGAATTAATATATATATATATATATATATATCTGTACTAAAAGTAGAATCCGACAAGAACAGTAACATTAAGAAAGAATATGTTTTGGAACCTGAGAACCAAGAACTTGAGGGGAAGCGTGAAGTTTGACAGAAGTATCCAAAGCAAGACTTGTTTCGTAAATATTAATCTGAGCCAGTGCTTGATCTCCACGACCATTGGCATGATCCAAACATAAGCTCGAGCTGAAGAGTGCGAGTAAACACAGAAGCACAACTATACCTCTACCCATAATTTTGTTTTTCCTTTGCTGTGACTGAAAAACAAAACCTGAAAGGTCTATTAATTATATAATCAGAGGATATATCTAAGAATCTTACAAAATTGATTCATGTCTATCGAATCAAATCGTAGTCAGGAATATTCTAACCGTTTCTCTTTAATATTCTAACAGTTTTTTATCCTTAATGATAGTACTAAGTTAATAGTATTACAGTTTTAAAAAATACAATGAACGAATTTTTTTGGATTTTGCTTTTATTCGGACTTAAGACTGATCGGGGTCGGACCGGCTTTTAACCGGGAATTAAATAAAGTGGATGGTTAAATTTGGCCACCGTGGCTTCAAAGGCCTTGTAATCGCATCCCTAATTGGGGTCGTCACTTTGGAAAGACGAAGAAGATGAAGAAACCATCAAAAAAGAGTGAAATCGAGTTCTGCAAGGTGTGCCGGTTGCATCACGACCAAGGCTCGCGCCACAAGTACTTCCCTCGCCACAAAAGTTCCCTCTCTTCCTTACTCGATCGATTCCGATCCAAGATAGCTGACGTCAGATTCTTCCTGAAGAACCCTAGCGTTCTACGGCCACAAGAGCAGTCGCAAAACCGTGTTTGGTGTGTTTTCTGCGATGAAGAGATCGTTGAGCTCGGTAGCTCCTTCGCCTGGTATGTCATTCCCTTATCTCTTTCTCTTGATATAAGTCTGTTAGTTCGATTTAGGTTCATTGTTGTGCGAACATTAGTAGTACTCGAAATAATTTGTTGTTGTTGGTAGAGTTAAATATTCTAGAAAACTGGGATTGTATCTCATGGAAGTGGAAAAATCCAAGTGTCTTCTGACTATGAGAAAAATTGTGACTGCACATAATAATTTGTTTGAACACCTTTTATCAGTTCTAAGGCAATCACTCACTTCGCAAGTTCGGATCATCTTAAGAATATCAAGCAATTTCTATCGAAAAATGGCCCGGCAATGGATTGCGTAGACGACTTCCGAATTTCAGAAGCTGATGTAGCTAAGGTATATGTACTTGAACATTATGCTCTTCTGTTTGATATTTCTCAATTGTAGCCAGTATTTTTTTCATAGCCTGGGGCACAACCTTCGGTTTAAGAGTGTAGACATGTTATTCGTTGAAATCTCTAATGAAATTTTATTTATGCTGGATGCAGTGGGAAAAAAAATGCCAGTCATTGGGAAATGAAGATGCATCCTCTTTTAAAGGGTCCTGTGGACAGCTGTTTGGGACATCTAATGATATCCACACTAAACTTGCGTTTGAAACTATGGATAGAATTGAAAAAGTTCCTGCACACCATATAAATTCACATAATTCAAATGTTGTTATGCCTTTACAGTATAATACGAATGAGTATCAGATATCACTTTCAGAGATTCCTGGAGTTACACATTATGGTTCATATCTGAACATGGGTGCTTCCCACCTCCCTCTATGTCATGTAGCAGGTATTTTTGGTTGATTCCGACCTCCATAATTTGTCAGAAAATAAGTGTTTTACAAGTTGTATATAATTGTCTCTATAATTATATTTCCTAGGGAACGGGTTTGGCAAACATTCCATTCCTTGTAGAAGCAAGGATGACTCGGGCTACGGTAATTATTGCACCCAAGAGGTGGGTTTCAGTCATAGTAACATTAATATTCTGATTATGGTGCATCTATATGACGCTTCCTCTTAGTTTCATCATGTGGATTCTTTGGCTCAGAATTTTGGTTATAGGCCATGCTTTGTAAAGATTATGGTCATAAGTATTCCTTGGTTCAGAATTTCTTATGTGTTATATGCGTAATTGGCACATCAAAAATCTTCTATATATGAGAGGTATTTTAGGCAGAATGAATTTTTTCTAAAGTTTGGGGTAAGAAATACCTTTGTGTGTTGTTTTTTATCCTAAAAGTTCCATCACTGTTTGGGTCTCTTTTTTCCATGGGTTCAATTACATCATACCTCCAGAGCTATCTCATTGTCTAAGTCCAAACTTTTATATATGAGCCTGTGACTGACATTGTCTTCATCTAGAATTATCAGGTGAGCCAGGATAAGAAACAAATTGAGGGCAATTACAATCCTCCAGGTAGGCCTCTGCTTGGTGTTCAAATTTAATCTGCGTTGTGTTAATTTCATGATTAGGGCTTCATTGTCTAGGTCTATGAATTTCATTGATGTAGCCAATCTGATATGCACTAGTTTTAATGGCATGAGTTTTATTCTTGGCAGGTGTGGTGGGCATGTCTAGCATTTCGTCCTCACATTCCACCGATGCTGGCGGGAACGTTCACTCTGGAGCTCCTCCACCATGGCTTGATGCAAATGATGGGAATGTTTCTAATATTCAATTAAACCAGTCAGACATGGCCTGCGTTCAGGCAAAGGTACCTGGGAAGAATCGTAAGCTGAACCCTAATAGGGTTGGCGCTGCATGGGCTGAAAGGAGAAAGATAGAGATAGAAATGGAGAAGAAAAGTGGACATGCAACGAATAGTAATATTGATGCAGACTGGCTTCCCAACTTTGGTCGGGTTTGGCAATCAGGCACTCGAAAAGAATCCAGAAAAGAATTTGAGAAGGAAAAACGGAAGTTAGTAAAAACTGAAAGCGTCTCGACAGGATCAGAACCAGTCAAAATACAACCGTACATTAGCAAACGGGCGGTAAGTTTTGCCTTTATAATAAATATTGAATTACAAATGACTGGTCTCATGTCAGTTACTATTTTTTTCTAATCCTCAAACATATTTTTTTAGATTGATATTTCTTTTACCCACATATCATGTGTTCCTTTTATACTCAAGATAAATGGATAGGATACATATTTGCTTTGTTGATACTGTTTAAATTTCGAGAAATATTTTTTCAGTGGCCTTATGTATCTACATTAATTGTGATTGCAGCGAAGAGAGAGTGGTGAGTAATGGCTGTGGCTGGCATCCAAAATGGCAACTAGTAAGGATTGTCTCATGTAGGAATTTTAGAATCCTCGTTTATTGGAGATCCTGCTCCAGTGTATCTTGTTTTTCATGTTGAGCTATGATAGAATTTAGAGGTATGTGATCCTGGATACTCCTTTGAAGTAGTGTGAAAAAATGGATAAATTTTGTTTATGGTACGGGAGATTTTAAAGGGTTAAAGTTTCACGTAGCTTATGCAGTAATAAAATATAGCATTGACCATTGAGAAGGCCTTTCTGCGACTGTCTGATCTTCCTTTGGGAGATAAATTGAAATAACTTTTGTTGTGTGGTGCATAGATTGTGGCCATTTCAATAAAGTGTATCCATTTTCTAGTTGGACACACATATTTAGAATGACATTTGTACACTCTACAATAAATTGCTTTAATTTCGAATATGTTTCCCTACGCTGGTATGAGATAAAGACGCAGTAGTGTGCCGAACTAAGTGAGCAACAATGTTTATGTTGTTTAAATGTGCAAAATTTAGCTAATATCTGATGAGGACTGTTTCTGGTGAGCAAAACCTGGATGCATTTGATTGTCCCTTTATCCTAAATTTCCAGAAGTTCCCTTTAGCTGAAACCAGATTCTCCTGACATAAGAATTCCCAGGAGAGCCACTTCTCAGCCGTCCTGTGCACATCATGCACGAAAACATCTGTTGTAGAGTTGCTACTTCCCTTTCTTGCTAACACAGCTGCAGTATATATACTCCCCATCCTACCTGGTGCCTCGAAGTTGTCCCCACGTGGACCATCAACTACTATCACATCCCATTTGGTATTGTGTACTTCCTGTGGCAAATCCCGCAGTTGCATTTTGCAGGCTGATGAGCCTTGTAGATTATTCATCTTTGGTGCGCATGCGGAATTGGCTCGTGCATGTCGAAGCAGTTTGTAAGCATTTTTCACTTCCATCTGATGGTATTTAAAGCTATAGATTCTTGTGTTGTTTGGATTTACTTCAGCTTTTGGTATCATTATCTTTTCAGGTACATCTTCTAGAATGACGGTAATACCTCTAGTGTTGATCGCAGGTAACATGAGGTATTGAGGTGCAAACCCGAAAACAAGAACGTTGCAAGGGGATCTACGAGTAACGGTATCTGATAAGAGCTTCAGTTCCTTTTCCGTGAGAGCGTATGGGCCCTCATTAGCCCTGAGCTGCTGACTGGACTCAGCTGGACTCAAATGAAATGTGGTTGAAGATGAGGACTGAGACGTAGAAGATGAAGACTTGTATGAAATCCGGAGGAGTCGGAGAACGGAGAGACTTGAAAGAACGAAGATAAGAAGAGGTATGAGCTTACATACAGTGAATTTAGGCATCTTAATCGTTGATACCCTCTGGTTTTTGGGATTATCAGGGGAGGAAGGAGGTGAGAATCTAAGTAGAGGATTGAGAATAGGAAGTGAAGATTGATGAAGTTGGGGAGGCATTATTACTATTCTCACTTTTCTTTCAATATCATCAGGTTCTCAATTGAATTCCAATGTTTATGGTTTTAAATGATCATCAATTATGTGTTTGTTTCATCTTCGAGTAAATAACAAGGAAAGGTCGTATTGCTTTTGTTCCAAGATTCTCTCGTTTTTCTTTTTCTTGTTGTCATGTCATTGGCCTGTTAGTTTGGATTTACCCCCTTTTCTAAAAATCCCCGCCTACTCCCGATTACTCCCCGCTTAATCGCTAGGCCCACCCTATCCGCCTCGATTAATGACTAATCCCCTAAAAAATCAGTAACCCGATTATTCTCCGTCTAATCCGATTACTTCCCGCCTAATCTTATATACCCCGATTATTTTTTAGATTGCAAGTATAAAAAAACTTTTTATTTTTGTTATTCAATCATTTGAATGGAGAGTTTATGATGTTTTACAATAACTTGTGTTCAAATTTTAATTAAAATCATAAATTTGTAATAAAAATCATAAATTTTTACAATATTGGATTAATATATTTTAAAAATATTAAAATAACCCTAAAACTAATCCCCGATTAATCCTCGATTTTAATCCGATTTTCCGATTAATCGCTAGGCCCATGCCGAGCGCCCGACTGGCGGCTAGCGATTTTTCAAACAAGGGATTTACCTAATATCATGATTATTTTCATTATGTCATGTCACTGGAGTACAAATATTAGAAATAAACGTGTATTAAGTGATTGCGATGGAGTGAACAAGTTTGGTGATTAATTGTCCATGAAACTCTTCAAAGGGTGGACTTTTGGTGGTGAATCGAAGGCAAAAGCCTTAATAAAGAGTAATACTATAAACGAGGCGTTGTTTTTAAAGCCACGCATATTTTCATCAGGGATCTAATGAAATAAGATATAGGCAAATAGTTCTGGATTTCTCCATTTAGAGAAAAACAGCTTCTCTTAATTGCTGAGACGAACTATTTGCAATTAAGAAAAGCTGTTTTTACTCTGAGGTTTGATATGAATTGTTGTGTCAACTTAAATAGGCCATTGAGGTTTTTTACTTTTTACTTTGTAAGTTTTGTCAACATAACTAAAGGTTTAGCCTCATCCACATTCACCAAAGCTTTTAATTTTCTTACGGAACAGCGTAATAAACAGTGACATACATTAAACAGAATGCAAATTACTAGAGATTGATCTCAAATGTGTGGTTAAACTAGGTTCACAAAATGTTTCCTCTTTTCGAGTATCTGAACAAAAAAAAAAAACAAAAAAACTGTGAAGTGTCTTCATGAAACAACAAAGCTGTAACTACCCGTCTCCATCTTTTTATCTTCCCTTGTTATCTGCAAACATGTCAAACCAAACTTTAGAAGACTAGTTCCCAAATTACAAGGACATGGTAAAAGCCAATGCAATGTAATGTTCATGAATGAATCAAAAGTCTATCAGCAGTTCCGAACAAACCTCTTAGATAATTTGACTCAAAGACAGAAACCAAAAAAAGCTAACTCTTGTAGCAGTTATCTTTTTACCACCAAATTTCAAAAGACTGGCATAGGAACAAATAGTTTACAAAATTAGACGTATTCTTTCCCACATTTTGAACCAAATCAACAATTCCAGCCAGGATCGGAGAGTATCTATTAGTGCACGGTACAAATAAAAGCTAACTTTTACTTCAATGAGTTCTCCATAATATGCATAAACAATCCTACTAGATGTCCAAACGCTAAACAACAGAGCAGAGTATTCATGGAAACAAGAACATCTTAGTTATATAGACGAATCTGTACTAGACGAAGTAGCTAAACCAATTGAAAAAAGTATGAAAATGATCAATGAATCATCATTATCAGACACAAATCCCAAATAGATTCAAGCATGCATGGCTGGAAAAAGAAGAAATTGGTGAAGAGAAATCACCTAAGTAGCACCGACGATGATGTTGTTGATGGGAATAAAGATGAGCTTCACAAAGAATCCCACGAATCCCATTACTACGAACCCGATTGCTGTACGCACTGCCACTTTCGTGAATTCTACAACAAACAACCAAAAAAAAAGGCAACACAGAATCAAACACGGATCTCTCTCCTCCATTCAAATTCACACACAGATCTTCCCATCCTCAAACAATTCATATAGATCCAGCTGATCAGACGGTAGAAAAGACACAGATCGCTCACAATAACTATCTAAAAGACAAGAATTTCGAGCGAAAATGTAAAATCCGTTGACAGATCTCGTTGGATCCGTGGGATAAGAAGAAGAATAAATACCTTTGCGATCTGGCTTGTGACAACGCTTAACGAGGCGAATGCTGTCCTTGGCAAAGTCTCTAAGCGGATCCACGACGGAATCAATGGCGTCCATGTCGCTTTTTTTTTTTTTTTTTGTGTTACTACGTTTTATTATTTGTTCTGAAGAGAAAACAAAATGGGAGTTTTCGGGAAAATTAATGACACAGATATATAGAAAAAGAGAGAGGACCGTCACATGGATATTGAATAGCCAATCACAGACCGATCCTCGGCGGAGTTATGCCATGTCAGCAAAGTCAAAACTATAGTGGGCTCGCGTTGCATGTTTTGACCAAAGCCCACTATTACGGAACCACTAGCATTATTAACAAAACATTTAACTGACTAACATTTTGAATAATTTGAGTTTTTATAAGTTTTAAATTATTATTTTGGTGATTTTACATTCATTTGATTAGTTTGATATGATTTTTGTTGATTTTAGATGACTATAAAGAAATTGTTACGATTACTACTTATCCAAGTTCTTCTGAAATATCCCTCCTCTCCCTTATAATATAACATTTGGAAGTTGTAACACACATCATCTAGCGCCTCATTTGAGCAAAGGCTTATAGATTTCTTTGATTCTCAAACTCAGTGCATGATGGATAAAACATTGCAGCTTGCAAGAATGTCCTATATATTTTTACTCCATGGATTCAAAGGTAGGAGCATACCAACCAAGCTGGTCGATGAGCTTCTTCATCCTCTCTTCTTGTCCCTTGGAGTCTCCAAAAGCAGTGGTGAAAGGATACACAAAGGTAACCTTAGTGGCCATACACCTGTAAGCAACCACATCTTGCTTCACCAAAAACTCCATCACATCTCTGCTAAATCCTCCTCCTTCTACCTCTGCCTCCAGATATCTCCCTGCAAATACCATTGTGTGTTAAATGTTATGATCTTTCCTCAAATTCTAAATGTTAGAAGAAGAAAAAATATCATTTGTGGTGACAAATAATTACCGTATGGAGTATCTTCAAGAACCACAAACTTGGGGTTCTTCTGGGTGCTCATTATTGCCTCTTTCAGTTTCTGCGTCGAACAAAGAATCAGAAACGATGCAAAACTGAGGCAAGCGTTGAAGATGGTGAGGAGAGGAAATAGACCTGAATGGGATCCTGTGTATCGGTTTCAGGGATCGTCAATGGAAATGAGAAGGAAGATGAGGTCGGATTCGTCGATACACAGCCTGGGTTCGTGGAAGGGCAAGGTCTAATTTTGCTACACAAATAATTAAAAAGAAAAGTAATCAAGATTGTAATTAGCTTTGTTTTGGAGAGCAAGAATGAGATTGAGAAGATGAACAAACCCATTGAGAAGACCAGTCTGCACAAACTTGGATTGGGTGAAAGGAGTGGTGAGTGGCTGAGAAGAGGAGAGAGAAGGAATGGCTAAGGCAGGGGAAGAGGAGGTAAGAGAGAGAGCAAGAGCAAACGAGATTAGTTTTGGTAAGAGAGAGATTGAAGGAGAAGAAGAAGAGAGGTCTTCTTGTCCTTGTGTTGGGTTTTTCAGTGAGTACAAGAACTTGGTGCTTCTCGGCCGTGGCGGGATGATGAGTTGCAAACTGCCGACCAAACTCATGTCTCTAGTTTATGGGTTACTCTCTTCTCCTCCAAGTGTCTCAAAACGCTTACTGAAATGATAAAAAAAAAAAAACAAAAATTAAAATCACATAATTTTGAATTCCCTTTTTTTTTTTTGTATGTTTGAACTTTTAAATTTTAGTTAACCACAAATTCTATAATGTCCCGCTATAAAATATGTTCTGCTCTTGTTTGTATGTTTGACCCAAAAAAATAAAAATAAAAATACTACTATGAGATATATATATGTACTCCCTACCAAAAAAAAGATATATGTACAAATTATTAAATATTTTATCGTAAATAGAGAGTTTCATTTTCACCCAAGACCAATAAAATTTCACCTATTTGTCATCATCCACTTACAAAATTCGATAGTAAAATACAAGCCGCAAATTTCAATGCAACTAATCATGCATGTATGTATATATGTTCATTGAATGTTTCATTAAACCAAATTGACTCTAATAACTAAGTGCAGCCTCAGGTGATTGCAACCAACAAAAAACTATACCAGCGAGTCAAATTCAAGAGAGGGAGAGGGAAATGAAACGATAGAAAAGAAGACGTTCAATTGTCTTGGAGAATTAATAAGTTTCTTTATCTTCACTATTTATATATTTACGCAGTGTTTGAACATTTGCAGAATTGTGCAGGGAAAAGAGAATGAAAAAGATTTTACTGGACAAGGAAACTCTATTTTCACGATTTCGCCGGTATGTGCAAACTTTTTTCTTTAATATTACTTATTTCATAAGATTTTGATATAGATAAAAACTCAAACAAAAGAGGTGAAAACTTATGTAAATTTTCAGTACTTCTTTTAACCTTTTTTTTGGGGTGAAATTAACCTTTTTTTTGTTGTGTAACATATAGATAGTTTTACTAGATTATGTTTGTATATCAATCAAACTGAAGTAAAGATTGACGATTTATCATATATTATAATCCCATTGAAAAGAGATTTAAAATATGTATTTTTTTTTATTAGTGCTGAAAATATTTATTTTTTAGTATGATTATATCTGAAAATATGATTATTGCTAAATATCAATCAAGGAATTCTCTAAACATGTTTTTTTTTAATATATATATTTATATTAATTAATAAATTGATATGCGGTCGTACCGGATCCAACCGGCCAAAATAAAAAAGCCTCCGTTGTACTGAGAGAGTTGACCAAAATCGACCCAGTGCAGACTAGGTTTATCGAAAGCTCCCAGTTATCAAGATTCTGCAGTATTTAATTATACTGCAAATTCTAGTTTCTGAAAGCAAAGCTTTGTGGAATTGATAGCTTGAATTTGCGAATGGACGGAGAAGAGCTTACCGAGCAGGAGACTGCCTTGTACGACCGCCAGATTAGGGTTTGGGGCGCTAATGCTCAAAGAAGGTTACTTTCTCTTCTCAACACTCATTCTTGTTTTCAATTTTCAACATTCAAGTGCTTGTAGGGCTGCATCTTTGGTTCGAGACTTCAAGGGAGTACTAAACTCTTACTGTGTTTGGCCATTTTAGGAGAATGCTTAATGGTTACTACTTAAATTGCGGATTTTGATCATAAATTTTTTTTTTTTATCTTATTTTGTTTCTTCTCCATTCTATTCCTTCCTCTTGGCTTCAAGTTTTAGTTTTTATTTGTTTGTCTTAAGAGGATTTCAATTATATTGGGTTAGAGTTTGGATTCTGCTTCTAGACAATTGGATTTGTAATTAATGCGCTCCCTTTGGTCGTTCTGAGATAATCATGTCTGTTCTGTTTCTGGGGAACTCCTGGGTTCATATCCCAGCTGAGAGTTTATGTTTCCTTTGCTTTTGGTTTCTAACTTGAGAGATTGATGTTTTCATTCATATATTCGCTTTTTGCTGAAGCTTATTTTATTGATACACTACACTATCATGTAATTACTGTGTAAGGTTGGCACGATTTGATATAGTGTGTGGTTGGTCTTTTGCTTGCAGATTGACCAAAGCTCATATCTTCGTATCTGGAATTAAGGGGACTGTTGCTGAGGTAGTTGTAACTCTATAATTTGTGTTGAGATGTCATGCATCTCAATTATTTAATCTAATGGTATCTTACTGCATTTCTTGGCTTTGTTTCCATTTGGTGGGTAGTTTTGCAAGAACATTGTGCTGGCAGGAGTTGGTTCAGTTACTTTGATGGATGGCCGTTTAGTGAATGAGGAAGCCTTGAACGCAAACTTTTTGATTCCGCCTGATCAAAATGCTTATAGTGGCAAAACTGTGGCTGAGATTTGTTGTGAGTCACTCAAGGATTTCAACCCTATGGTCCGTGTTTCTGTAGAGAAAGGTTTCCCTCTAATACTTCTCCTTTAGAGTTTGATAAAGTACCAACTTTTGTCTGATCATTTTTTCTAATCTTTCAGGTGATCTGTCAACGCTTGGCACTGATTTTTTTGAGCAGTTTGATGTCGTAGTTATAGGCTACGGTTCTCCTGCTACCAAAGTATTGATACCATCTTTTACATAGTTACCACTTCCTTGCATCTTTATTTGCTCCATACATCTCTTCATTACGTTGTCTGTTTTTTTTGCAGAAATATGTCAATGAAAAATGTCGGAAGTTAGTAAAACGTGTGGCATTCTATACAGTCGATTGTAGAGACTCATGTGGTGAAATCTTTGTGGACCTTCAAGATTACAAGTACATGAAGGTGTTTACATTTTGACATTTCATCTGGCTCCTATTTTAATTCTATGATTCCATTGAACATTTAAACTTCATTAACACCTCCTAGGTCCTAACTGTGCAATTTTTAGTTGTCCTTTGTATTGTTTTCTTGACAATTTTCATTCCACAGAAAAAGCTTGAAGAGACGGTGGAATGCGAACTAAATTTTCCAAGTTTTCAGGTACAATTTAAAACTAATTTTTGCCACTAATAGTCTTTACATCTGCATAAGATGTAATAAAATAAAAATTTGTTGGTTTATTGCCACAGGAAGCTATATCGGTACCATGGAAACCGATTCCTCGGAGAACAGCAAAGCTCTACTTTGCTATGAGAGGTGGTTACTAGTTACCATTCTTGATTACATTCCACAAACAGTATAATTTGAGATCTCAAGTCAGGTACATACAACAAAAACTGCTTCACTAATCTTTGGTGTTCCTATGATATTTTTTTCAGTAATAGAAGTGTTTGAGGAAAGTGAAGGGCGCAAACATGGAGAATGTTCGCTACTCGATCTTGCCAGAGTCTTGGAAATCAAAAAGCAACTCTGTGAGGCAAACGTAAGCGTGTTTTCCTGTTTTGCCATTCTTTAGAAATGTCACTCAGTTCACTGAAAAATTGAAAATATTGCGACAGTCTGTGAGCGAGAGCCATATACCAGATAGTCTCTTGGGGAGACTTATCACTGGTACTACTGAATTCCCACCAGCTTGTGCCATTGTGGGAGGAATATTAGCACAGGTTATCTCTCTCACTCTCTCTCTTTTCGCATTCGAATCTTCTCACTGGACACTATTTGACAAGAAAGAATTTGATGTGGCAGGAGGTGATCAAAGCAGTATCAGGCAAAGGAGACCCATTGAAGAACTTCTTCTACTATGATGGTGAAGATGGGAAAGGTGTGATGGAAGACATTTCCAACTCTTTTACCTCTTAACCAACCATTGTGTCCTAGATTTAATTTAACTCTATGATCTCTGAGATTTTATGTATATCTCAATCGTTTGTTTTTTGCCTTCACACTATGAACAAATTAATGCAGAATTTCGTGGTGGTCAGTTATGATTTTCCTTGGTAGAATCTATTTCAGTTATTGACATTGAATTGTTCAATTTCAAATTTCAAATATTATAATTTTAAGTTATTTTTTTAATAATAAAAATGTAATTACTGAGATTTCATAAGATCACACACTGTTATAAACCTCATTCTTCTTAATTAGTAGCAAAGTAAATTGTAAGAAATGAAAATGGAAGAAAGAGAGGAAAATCGACACGAAGGTCTTCAGCAGCAGTTGAGAGAGCTTGAGGAAGAATGGACAGCCATGAAAACCGGTAAACATTCATCTGCAGTTTCATGGATCACAGTGGAAGAAGCTCTTGAGTATGTCGAAAACTCTCCCAGAAACCTAATGCTCTCTCTCCAACACAAACCAGAGGCAGAGATGATACACGAAAGATCACCTTTAAGGAGAAAACTCTTTCACGACTTTGATGATGATGATCAAACCAAGAAGACGACATCGTTTTCTCATTCATCTTGTTGGTCTTCGAATGTGACGAGTTCGAGTGATACTAGGAAATCAAAGAAGAAGACGACGATTGAAAGGATTGTCTCTGTTACTATGGTGTTGCTTTTGTCATGGGTTTTATATGTGTTGATGAACGGCTTTGATCATCTCTTCATGAATACACATATCAATACTTTGGTTCCTACATGAGAATTTTTTATTATTTTGGTTTGTGAATTTTCATCAAAACTCAATAAAGAAAAGGTTTAGTTTTGTTTTATTACCTCTCGTTTTCTCTTTACATTTTGGCCAAAACAGTAAAAACAATGTATGTACTATGTATTTTGGGCTTAGAAAACGATTACAAATTATACTCTTTAGTCTTTACTCTTTACCACTGGATGAAGAAGCAAAAAAGAACTAATATTGTATTGGTGACACTAAGGGGGTGTATTCAATAAAAGATTTGAAATGATTTGTATTAAAAAGATAAATCTTATGTTATTCAAACATGAATTTTAAAAATCTTTTTAAAATCAAGTGTTATTGGATTAGTGATTTTAAAATCTATAATCAAATCCACTGTTATTGGAAACATTTTAAGTTGTGGATTTGAAATGACTTGAGTGATTTTTTGTGGGATTTCAAAGAACATCTTAGTTAAAAATTCAAATATCCAAATCTCATGGTTTTAGGTGGGATTTGGGAGAGTTTTGATATCAAATTCCCTAATTTACCAAAATTCACCAAAATCATCTTAAAACTCATTAAAACTCAAATAACTCCAAATTCTTTCTTCAATACACCTCCCTAAATGTTTAAAATACCTTACAATCAATATGGTTAGAGCTAATCATTTAAATAGAAAATGGGCTCCAACAAAAGGCCCATCTACACAACCCACACATTCAATGGATACATCTTTGGAAGCTCAATTTGCATTTTAAGTGTTTAAATCCACACATATCTCTCTCTTTTCATCCATATGTAAACATTTGTTACTGGAAGCGTCTATTTTTAACTTGGGTTTTACGAAGTTACATGTTATGAAGATAAATTTTTTATATGTATTAGACTATCAAAGGAACAAAAGAATATAATTGGGCCTTAACTTCTTCTGACGCTTACATGACTTGGGAGAAGAATCAAATTCAAATCCCATTAGTTTCACCCTCAATCAAACTAATTCTCACAAATTTAGCACTCTGAAAAGATGGTAAAACAATACTCAGCAAAAAGATTAATAATGACAAAAGTATCTTTTTAAAAGAAACAAACTAAATAAAATAAATAAAGCAAATAAGCAATGACAGAAGCTCTCACCGACGCCTTCGCTTTTTTAATTTTGAGGTCGGTGTCGTGTCGACGCCTTCAAGCTTAGAATCTCGCCACGTGTGGTGTGGGATAAATTAACTGAACCGAATTGAACCGAACAGACGAAAAAGAGAGCACACTAATTGAACCGATAGACCAGACCGGAGTAAGTTGTATGTCGGCATCAGAGTTCTAGCACGACGTTAATTAAAATAAAATAATAGTACTATTCTTTATCATATTCCTAGTAAGAGCCAATGAAAAGGGTGTGAACCAACCAACTACTGTAGCAAACCGTACCATTTCTCTAAGGTACCTTCCTTCTCTATAAATTAGGTTTTTTCCTTCACATTTCTTTGTCTTCATCTCACAGAAAATTAATTAGCCTCGAAATTTACACAAAGGCCTAAAGATTTCCAAAAATTTTGCAAAGGAAGAAAAAAATGGACAACAAATTTTGGACTTTCCTCACTGCTCTTCATTCGGGCGCTGGGTATAATTTCTTAACCTTCCTTACATTATGTTTTCCCAAAATTAGTTACTTTTTAATTTCCTCTGTTTTGATTTCTAATCTATAAACATAATCGGTTTGTTGATGCAGGCCCATAGTGATGTTGCTGTATCCATTGTAAGTTTTTCTCCTTGATTGATTTCTCTTCTTTTTGTAAAAGGAAAAAAAAAAAACAAAATCTGAGAAAACGTTGAATTTTCAGGTACGCATCGGTGATAGCAATGGAGAGCACAACAAAAGTTGACGATGAACAGTGGCTCGCGTACTGGATTATATACTCGTTCCTTTCACTCACGGAACTGATTCTGCAATCGCTTATTGAGTGGATTCCGATTTGGTATACGGTGAAACTTGTGTTCGTGGCTTGGCTTGTTCTGCCGCAGTTTCAAGGCGCAGCTTTTATCTATAACCGTGTTGTTAGAGAACAGTTCAAGAAACACGGCGTCCTCCGCTCCACCCACTCCAAGGCCACCAAGCCCAACATCCTCCAGTCCATTTTCCCCAACCGGGTAAATTCTTCTTTTTCCTTTTTTCTTAATTTTGAGATTCATAAAGCAAAAAAAAAACGTAAAAGTAACCATAGTTGTAGAATTCTTCAGTGGGGTCAAATAAAGAATCATTTTTATATAAAGATTAATTCATTTAATATAGTCCTAGGAAACGTAAGACTGTGCGCCTAATTTCTCTCTAACATAGCGACCATTTGCGTTTAACAAGTGTTATACTATAGTTTTGTTAATTCCTTTTAATAAAATTAATTGTGATTTTAAAATGTGATCTATAGGAGGGACACGAGGCTCACAGTCACTGAATCAGAAGAGAGGAGCAGACAGAAGAAGCCTGACTAGTATTATTGTAATGGTGTTGGTGGTGGTCCCATCATGTCCTGTCTAATCTACTTTTGCTTTATTTATCATAAAACTGGGTTTAGGAATGTTGATGATGATGACTGATGAGGTGTGTAATCGTTTTAAATTAGAAATGGCTTCTTCTTGTTGTATCGCTTATTATTAGCTGCCACGCATATCTATCTACAAATGTCAATGGTCATATTTTCAATCGAGTATTAATGTTATAATGACTACGTCTTCATGTTAAGAATTCAAAACATACTGATGACGTCAAATGTCTCACCAAATCAACCAACCCACAATATTCCCCAGTCTAAATCCTAACGAGGGTTGTTTGTTTTTGATGACATACAATAATACTGTTTCTGTTTGTTTGGCTATATAGCCAGGCTGAGACGTGTTTTAAGAAGACAAGTTTCGACGAAGCTTAACGAACAAAATTAAAAGAAAAAACAGCTGCTAAAATTTAATTATATTGATGGAACAATAGGTGGCCTCTTGGGGCCAATAAATAAGTTTGTATATATAGCCTAAGTCGAAATAAGGCGATGCAACCAAAATTGTGGAAAAAAGAGAGATACTTGGATTTAAACTCTTAGTAGTGTGCAAATTGAATAAAATTAGCTTTCCAAAAATGAAACCCATAGAGAGCTTCTTAATTCACCCTCTGAGCAGCCTCCTTGGCTAGAATCCTCTCCTTAGCCTTAGTCTTGGCCTGCGATTTGGATCCCATAATCCCACCTCCCCACTTCTTACGCTCCTCCATATACTTGTCATTGAAGTTTGCCTAAGCAAAAACAAAAAAAAATAACCCATTTCAATCCATTCTACGGATTTATATAACCACAATCTCAAAGAAACATGTGACAACAATTACAATCTCACCTTTATGGCCTCTAGGATTTTGCTGAATTCCAGCTTATCCTCATTCTTCACTGTGGTCAAACACAAGCAAGATGCTATTTTCTGGTGGACAATCTACAACAAGTAACCAACACAGGAGGAGATCACAGATCAACTACACGTTTCTATAAGTAATAGCTCTCATCAAGTAAAAAATCGCAGTTACCACTCCCAATCGTGATTTCCCCTTGACAATGCAGTAAGGAACTTCCATTATCCTGCACAATGTGGGCAGCCAGACGACCAACTCAATCGGATCCACATCATGAGCAATCACCACCAATTGGGCCTTTCTCTGCAATCAAACCAAGCAGATAGGTTTCATACAAGTTTCTAACTAGGTTAGTTCCTCGAGAGTGGCAAAATGAATTAGACAGGAAGGGAAGAGACCTGCTCAATGAGGTAAGTCACATGGTTAAGACCATATTTGACAACAATTGGCTTCTTTGACTCAGAAGGTTTTCCCTCAGCCTCAGACTGAGCCGTCTTGAGAAGACGCTCCTTCTTGGCTGCTTTGTCCTCAGGCCTATACTTGAGGAGAATCTTAAACAGAGAAGTCGCTGCGATTATACAAATATCGAGTTAAACAGCTAGTGAGTAATCAACACAGATAACATCCACAGAGGCCGAGATAAAGGAAAAATATCTTCACAGAGAGAGAGAGAGAGAGCAAAACAAAACCACATTACCGGCTTCTTCTTTGTAGATACTTTGACTCCTTTCTTTGGGGCCTAAAACCAAATTGAAGATGTTGCTTACAGAGTTAGAAAGCAATTTAAACCAGTGACTAAAATTGATTGATGATTAATGTTACAAACAAGGATGAATTATATCATATGGAATCTTACACAGAAATAGATTCAAGTAAAGAAAAAGTACCATTCAATTCCTCTAACAAATTAGCTACAATGGAACACACAAGGCCAGATCCAATTATGCATTTTAAGTTTTTAAGCAAACCACACATGCAAAAAAACTTAAAGATCAGACAAACATAAATTTACTATTATGAACTACACAACTTAAGAAGAAGAAGAAACAGAGTGGAGAAACAATGAATTATATAAGTAGAACAACAGATCTAACTCGGAGCAGAAGTTTCTATACCATTTGTCAGCTACTTACTGTTTATCCCAAAAGACAAGAAACTGAAACCTCAAGAGACCTCTGACTAATGAAAGAGAATATTTATTTATTAGGGTTTTATTTTGTCTATGATCGGGCTTACGAAAATTAGGCCGTGATCGGCAGCATGTAAAAGCGGAATTCAATGTTTTTTTCTTGGAAAACCGTACTACGTTCCCAATCAACACAACTTTTCTAAATTAGCGTTTTTTTTTAAAAAAACAGAAAAAAAACGCAAATCAAAAACAGCTTCCCAAATTTGCCTTGGACCGCTTTTTTAAAAGGACACAGTTATTTTCAAGCGTTTTTCAATAAAACTGCACATTTATTATTAATCTTTCTTTTGAATAGTTTTTTTTCTTTAGTTTTAATTTTCTTTTGAATAGTTTTTATACAAACAACAAAATATACATAACTCATAATATAAATTCAAATATGATAGTTAATTAAACAGATTGAGAGTTTTAATATTAATTTAAAGTCATTTATATTTTAAAATTTTCAAATAACTGTCTTATATATAAACTAGATTTATTTAAATTTCACCAAAAATTACTCAATTATTATATTAAACTATTAAAATTTGATGTCTACTTTTCTGATTGGATTAATAATGGGATTGTCTTATATATATACACTATAAAGTTAAAATCAAAAAAAAATTAACTATATTTTTAAAACTTTAACATGTATCCCGTAAATTATTTTTTCACCAATCAAATATTATTTGGTACCGCTTATTCTACAAAAACTACACTTATCCCGCAAATATATTTTTCTCGCTTGTACCGCAATTAGACCGTCCCGCACAGAAAAACCGCTTTTCTTACAAAGCCAAATACACCATTCGGACCCTAGTTGTGTAGAATCGATATGATTGGGCTTATAATTTATATGGCCCATCTTCTCAACTAACATAATTAAATAAGAAAAACCTAAAAAATCCTCTTAAGTCAAATTTGTTCCTAGAAGATATATAAATACTTTTTTTCTTTCCCAATATTTTCGCTTCTTCATCATCATCATTCGCGCAAACATTCCAAAAGTTTTCTCTTCTTCATCAATATATATTTTTTTTTTTTGAAATTAAAATTCATCCTTAGTTTATCTCTTCAACTTTTTCATACTTTTGTCCAATTTTTCTATTTATGGAGAATATTCATGTGAAGCGAGAGATTCCGCCACCTTCTACTTCCCCGGCTGGCTTTCCGGGAAGAGAATCTGTAACTGTAGTCGATCTCTGTAGCAGTGATGACGACTCCGACATTGGAGAAATCGCCGCCGACAGAAGATATAATTCTGGAAACAACTTGAAGAGAGCGCGAGATACTTATGGAGGAGGTTCTTCGGAAGTGGATAGGAATAATGTGAAGAAGGTTACACCACTTGATGAGTTAGCAGTTGTGTTACCGGAAGGATTCGGCCAATCCAATCCGCCGGAAGTTTTGACGCATGCTATTCCTGCGAATCCCTGTAATGTCTTCAGGCCTATGCCGCCGCCGCCGCCGCCGCAGCCACCGTACGCGGGCACGTCCGGGAGGATTGGCGGTTGTAAGCAGTTTTGGAAAGCTGGAGATTATGAAGGAGCACCTGGCGCTAACTGGGATCTTTCTTCAGGTAAAACCAAATCTTAATTTTGTTCATTAGACAGTAGTAATGTGGAATGTTTTGTGTTACAATGGTTTGACATGGATAATGTCTCAGGTGGTTTTGACCATGTAAGAGTCCATCCAAAGTTCTTACATTCTAATGCAACTAGTCACAAATGGGCTCTTGGAGGTATTTTCCCATTGATCAACCATTATTCGAGAATAAGTTTGCCTCTATTTCTATAAGCTAATCTGTGTTCTCTTATCCAGCTTTTGCAGAGCTTTTGGACAATGCATTGGATGAGGTGGGTTTTGTTTCTTAACTTGTAATATTACTGTATTAGACAGATTGAAGCGCATTTAACTTTGCTTTGTAGTAAATGGTTTCTCGCGTTGATATCAGGTTGCCAGTGGAGCTACTTATGTTAAGGTAGACATGCTTGAAAACAAAAAAGCAGGAAACAGGATGTTATTAATTGAGGGTATACACTTTACCTAACATATCTTAGAGAACCTCTTCCCTGTTTTATTCATGTGGTTATTGGTTGCCTAAAGTGCAAAACTTTTGTCCACTTCTCGATCCTCATGTATGAGAATCCTTATGTTTTCAACTGCAGATAATGGGGGTGGGATGGATCCTGAAAAAATGCGACAATGCATGTCTCTAGGATACTCTGCAAAAAGCAAACTTGCAAACACCATTGGACAATGTAATTATTCTTTCTCAACCCGAGTGATACTTATATCAAAACTTTGCAGCAGGTAGATGCTTAATTCAATTACTGCTTGTAGATGGCAATGGATTTAAAACTAGTACAATGAGACTTGGAGCTGATGTTATTGTATTCTCGCGCTGCCCTGGGAAAGATGGAAAGAGGTTAGTTAGCTGTTTGTTATCAATATGTTGCACCTTTCGGCTATCATGTCTTTTATCATTTTTGTTGGATTGTATTTTCATTCCCGAAGAATATGAACAATAGTTCAAGTTATAATTTCTTGTTATAGATAATTTACTTGATGTTGGTTTTAGCTCTACGCAGAGCATCGGGCTCCTATCATATACATTTCTAAGGAGCACAGGAAAGGAGGACATTGTTGTTCCCATGGTAATCTTTCTTTGTTTCATTGTATGGCATTGTTAGAGAACAACTCCATGGTCTGCCACTTGGTTTCTCTATTATGAGTTGTATCCTGATATAAAATTCCATTCAATTGCTTGGTTCAACAACATGATTCTTCTAATCTTTCGTTAACATGGGATTTAGTGGCACGTATCAGTTGGTTACGTGTACACTATTTCATTGCAATCTTTGTTCAGTGTTGAGCACTAATATGTCTTATGTACCCCATTTTTTTAAATGAACGGATATCTACAATGAAAGCAAACAAGTTCTCAGTAGACCAGTTTAGATTTTGGATATTAGGGTTCTTAGTTTGTCTGATCCTTACTAGTCTCATATATGTATGCATGAAACTCCAAGAACACATGATTGGTTTACAATTGAATGCTCCGTATTGCTGCCTGTAAACTTTTATCCCGAAAGATTGGGTATTCCTCTACTTTTGATTTTTAGGCTAAACTGAGGAAGGCAATACAATTTCTTGCTGTAGAATATACTGCAACTTTGATTTGTTCCATGCGGATTTTGGTATAGCAGTTATGCATATATAAATTTTTGTAGTGGCAGTAGATAACTCCAATGGCAGAGAGTCGTGATTGATTCCTTTTCTTTTAGTACCTTAGTTTGCATCTCAATGTATAACTTTTCAGTATTGCTGGTAACATTGTGACTTTACTATGTTTTTAAATTGTCCGCACATCACTTCTGCCACAGAAGATGTTTCATGTCCACAACGTATACTTTTAGATGAATATTGTATCCATTTTATCCTTATATTCTCTTGTAATGTGATTGAAAATGGCAGCTTGACTATGAAAGAAGGGAGCCTGAATGGAGTAAAATAATTCGGTCTTCCCTTAGTGATTGGGATAAAAATGTGGAAACAATAATTCAATGGTCGCCATTCTCTAGTGAAGAAGATCTTCTTCATCAGGTATATTTTCTCTTTGTTCAAAGCAGTTGCTTAACACTTACTCATACTAAGAAATATTCCCTGAGAGCGTTTATTACTCAGGATTATTTCAGTACATTCGGAGCTATTTGATCTTCTTTAATCTCTACCACCCCTTTACTATCTCTATGAACAATTGTTATCACTAATTTTTTGCTTCATTTGTTGTAGTTTGATCTGATGAAGGATCGTGGCACACGGATAATCATATATAACCTGTGGGAAGATGATCAAGGGATGTTAGAACTGGATTTTGATGCTGATCCTTATGTAAGTGTTTTTATTGCTCAATGAATGAGGATTATTGTGTGAGATGATGCATACAAATTTTTATGCATAAAATATTGTTTATCTGCAGGATATTCAACTTAGAGGTGTCAATCGGGAAGAGAAGAACATCAAAATGGCTTCTCAGTTTCCTAATTCTAGGCACTTCCTGACATACAAACACTCACTAAGGGTATTAATTTTTCTTTTCCATTATCTTTTGTTTGTTGTTGTAGATAATAAGTAAGATGTCTTTGCCAAATTAGCTATGGACAGTCTTATGCTAGTTAGGATTGTAAATCTGTAATGGTTCTTGAAGGTTGCGTACATTGATGTGATGGTGGGGACTGGGGAATAATAAAAAAAGCTTGAATATGAATATTATTGTGAATCTTGGTCAAATAGGCTGCGTGTCGTTTTATTCTACAAATTCATTTCTCTCATCCTTTTGACATGTTCCCAGAGTTATGTATCAATCCTCTACCTAAGAATTCCACCTGGGTTTCGTATCATTCTACGGGGAAAAGATGTTGAGCACCACAGCGTAGTGAATGACATGATGCAGACTGAGCAGATCACATATCGACCACAGTCTGAATCATATGGAGTTGTGACAAATGTAAGTTTTAATAACTTAATACCACCCTTCTTATAGTTCTATTTATTACAAGCCAAGATCTTCATAAAGCTGGTATTGCGCACTACTTCTCTTATCAGATGTCTGCCATTGTAATTATTGGATTTGTGAAGGACGCAAAACATCATGTTGATGTTCAAGGCTTTAATGTCTACCACAAAAATCGGCTCATCAAGGTTTGCTTGCCAAAACTCTCCATACTAGGCCTTTGATTTTCAAGATAAATACTGGATTTCATATTCTTGTGTATTTTTATTAACTTGTGTTATCAGCCATTTTGGAGGATATGGAATGCAACAGGCAGTGATGGTCGTGGGGTCATAGGTATTGTTTTAATATGGAAATTCTATTACTTGACTCACTTACTTTTGTGAAGATTACAATGCTAGTTTCTTCTGCTAATAGGTGTTCTGGAAGCTAATTTTGTTGAGCCTGCTCATGATAAGCAAGGGTTTGAGCGTACAACAGTTCTCTCTAGACTTGAGTCACGGCTGGTTCAAATGCAGAAGACTTACTGGTCTGATTGTTTTCTCATGTTGATTTAAAATCCCACTTCCTTGAGCCTGAAATGGATGTGTTTCAGGGCTGAAAATATTTCATTCCTTGTTGATCAGGAGTACGAACTGTCACAAAATTGGCTATGCGCCCAGGCGACATCAAAAGTCTGCATATGGTTATGATAACAGAGGTATAGTGCCTTTATTGGTTTCTTAACGTCCATAAAACATTTCCAGGAGATTTTACTTGTAGGGAATAATCATTTAACAATGTTTTATGGATGTTAGACTCATCACCAGAAAATGATCGTGATGGACCTGCTCCATCAAGCATCAAAACTCCTACTCCAGCTTCTGACAAGTTCTACTCAAGCTCATATCCAAATCATAAAGGGGAAAATGGTGTATCAGGGAAAGATAGTGCACAGGTTAATGCTCCGTCCAAAATCACAAACCAAAAAGATTTTTTCATTGTAATAGTTCTCTCATATTTCTTTGGTACTCTTAGTTGCAAGAGGAGCTGCGGCGTGAGAAAGAGCGTAGGAAGGCACTTGAAGTTGAGGTATAGTCCTACTTTCTGACATTTTAAGTCTTTCTATAGTTTGTTTGCAAGCCTGATAGATTCCTGATTAATTTAGGTTCAATTAGCAAGGCAAAAAATAGAAGAAATGAAGAAAGAGCAAGAGAGTCTGATAGAGATATTCTCAGAGGAAAGAGACCGACGTGATGGAGAGGAAGAAACTCTGAGAAATAAGCTAGAGGTTCCTCATTGATTAAATGAACATTTATCCATTGACTCGTTTGATTATCATTTGTATGCTTACCTCCAATAAAACTAAAATCTTTCATTGCAGGAAGCGTCGAACACGATCGATGATCTGTTGAATAAGATTAAAAAGCTGGAGGGATCTAAAGGCCCGAACTGGAGACGTTAAAACCATTGAGCTTGCATATAATTGGAGGTTGGATTACGAGGAGAGATTCCATGTGTAACCTAATTGATTAATAAGGCATCTCTATTTATTTGTGACTCGACCTGATCTGATCCGGGTGGGATACACACGTGTTGTAGATTAGTGTTATTGGTAGGAAATCTGTAACATCTCTAGATGTGTTTGGCCTTCCATTGTTTTTATTTTTTTCCTTACAAACTTACCATTCCATAGCTTTAGCAGCTGCCATTGCAGTAACATTAACGATTTCCATGTGAAAAACAAACAGTTTTAGTAATAATTTGGGTTGACTTTGTGGAGATCTTGGCTCAATTATATATATATCCATACCATTACTATATAAGAATTGATGTCTGGTTTATTTGAGGTCAGAAGAAGGTTTTTGTTTTTTGTTTTTAAATTGTTTAAAGAGAAGCGTGTGTGGTTTAAATAAGGTCAACTAAGAAGTGGGAATCATTCAACAAGAAGAAAAATGACAAAATGACATATGAATGAAGAGGAGGGAGGGGGTTGAGAGAAGCAGACCAAAGCCCTGCAAAACTCTGTTTTATCAATGACACATTGTGCTCTGTCTGTCAAAAGCAATGCCTTCTTTCTAAGTGCATTTATTGCCTATTCCCACACAAAATATACAAATAAGTGTAAGCATACATGATATACTTTTAAAAACTATTTGAAATGCTCGCATTCTTTTTGAACTTGTCTTTTAAATTTGCAAAATTTATTTATATTTTTTTTGCTCGAAAAAACTGCAAGCAAATGTTGTTGATACGAACGAGCCAACTTGTCATTTTGCGACCTTGTTTTATCTCTGCCAGTCAAATAACTCTTTCTGTTTTCGCTTTTTTGGCTTACTTCTTACTCTGTTGGTTCGGCGTTTGTTTGGCCTTACTTTCGTTTATAGAATCGAATTTCAATGTTTCATCTCTCCTGTCGAAATTAAGTTGGTCGTTCTAGTAAATCTCATCTTTTCCTTTTACAAACTTTTGCATATTTAGTGAACAAATCCATTAGAGAGTTCTTTTTGCCCCAAGCAAATGAAAACGAAACAGTTTAAATCTCACTAAATTTAATGATGATTTTTTTTTTTTTTGGTGATAGTTTAAATCCCATTTTCTATTTAAACGAAACAGTTTATATAGTTTGTTAAAAAGTTGGCGTTGATACGATATTTGAACATTTGATATCAGAAGCTAAACGATTAATTCACCCAGAGAAAAAAAGTTGAATCAAACCAAACGATTACAAAAACTGTTATGCATTAAGAAAATAAATAATCTAAGGAATGTAACAAAAGTGGTGGGTGTTACCATATATTCGTAAAGAGAGGTAAAGTGTGTTAACATTCAACAGTACATCAATAACTTATACTTAGAAAAAATTAGTAACCACATCACATTAAAGAATGAAACTTTTATCTCTTCTTAACAATCGATTCAGATTACATGTTTTTCTCTAATTTTGAAATCGGAAAAGAGAAAAAAAAAAAAACAAACAAAGAGAATAAGAAAGAATGAAGGGGAATGAATATAAAATGGGTACAAGGAAAACATCATCGTCGCAATCATAAATGCAATTAAAGGCGCGTGATAAAGAGACTCGTGTGCTTCTGATACTCCCACGTGAGGATGTGACAATTTAATAGTATTACAAATAGTACAATAATCTAATAATTACCCAATCTTCTTCCTTAATCTGATAATTTATCTAAGCCAATCATTCATTCCACGGTGTCAATCCAAAACAAAAGTTCAGGACGAAATGACAATTTTACCCTTATAATGTTTTAATTTTTTTCCGAATTTTACCAACTGCTTCAATAAAACGTACCAGCCCATTTCTGGTTGGATACAAGCGGGATTCATTCCTAAAGTTTTTAACGGTATCAATCGTAGCGGTCCATTTATTTTTCTCATGGAATCTAAATACTAATTAATACTATTTTTTTCTTCACCTTTTTTCATCGTTTTTTAAACAATTAAAGTTTCAAGTAATTTTGATTCATCTTAAAAAAAAATATTGATATATTTCCGAGAAATAATAAGAAAAAAGGACTATAAATACGTCCGTAGTGTAATGTGTAACACAGACGAGAATCCTAAAATCCATTTTATCTCTCTCTCTATCCCTTCGTCTTCTTCCTCGGCGACACCACTTGCAGGAAGAGAACTCGACGAAGAAGAAAAAGTGAGCGAAACTCTCTGAAAACTGTACGGATTTAAACGTAGTCGTAGAGATGTGTATTTATACGAATTTTGATTGTTTAGTTTTCTGGATTTTTCTCCATCCTCTGTTGATTTCTACTTTTTGTTTGTTTGTTTGTTTGCTTTGTTTCTCTGTGTTTCACGCCGCACTACGCTCCAGCTTTCTCTTTGTTTTTCCGTCAGAATCAGATTGCTTTTTTCCAGGAAACTCGATCCAGATTTCTTACTTTTTTTCCCTTTTTAGTCGCTTTAAGATACGATTCATCTGTCGCCTGATTCGCTTCGTCTCCTTGATTTGATTTTAGATATTCAATTTCCTCTGTTTTAGTTACTTTTTGCGTTCGCTGTGAGGAAGTTTTTCCAGAAACTGGTTAAAGCGATAATGCATTTCGTCGTCGTTTTCTTAAATTTTAGGTTTAAGCTTCTCTCTCTCATTGTACATTCCGCAACAGATTTTTGGTTTTGGTCAAAAGATTTTCAAAATTTCTGCAATAGATTCCTTATATTTCAAATCAGAGAAAGAAAAAAAAAAGCGAGTGATATTAGGAGCCGCTTAAATCTGGATTTTCCTCTGTTTTGTACTGTTCATTGATATGATGGATGCAAGACAAGTCGTGTGATAAGATAGATACTCATAAAGTTTTTTTTTTCTTTCTCTTTCCTCTGGTTTTTACAGATTTTCCGGTAACAGTCAAATCGACGCAGACGGAACAGAGAAGAAGACGAGAGTCAGCTTCATCATCTACTTTAGGTTTCCGACGTCTAAGCACATGAACCGACGGCGACTTTTGGTATCGGCGACACTTGTCTCGTACTTGCTCTACGGCATGGCTTTCGTCTCCGTTGAAGCCTCCGGTGGTACTAAAATCAAACGTAGATTCACTTGTTTCTTAAGAAACTCTGTTATGCTTTGTTTAAACGTAGATTCCTAAATCAAATGTTATCTTCTGAGTAGTAATGGTGGAAGATATCTTGGTTTGAAACAGGTGAAAAGCTTAGAGAATATCTGGATTTGACTAAAACGACGACGTTGTCACCGAGCTCATCACATCGGAAAATGCTTCTTCTCTCTCCTGGTCCTGGTAAGGGAATTTTTGATTTTTTAGACTCCAGTTTTACATTTTACCAAATCGGTGATTGATTCTATTGCGTTGATTTTGTTAAATTTGTCTTGGTTCCTCCATTTTCGTTATGAACCTCGTGAAATGGTGAATTGTTGTTTTGTTTGTTTGTTTGCATCAGAAACCTCTCTCTCTCTCTCTCTCTGCTCTCTGCAAACACACAACTTCCTGATGCGTTTCGTCCTTTTTGTTTTTCACAGCGTCGTCAGTCTTTTGCACGTCTGTGTTTTCTTGCTTCCTTTTGTTTCTTTGTTCGTTATACTTTTGTGGACCCTATTCATGAATTTTGATTGCCTCATGACTTATCTAGAGTAAAAACAAATAACATCATCCTTAATTGAGTAATTTCAAGCGTCGAATTTACTTCTGTTGAATCTCTTTCTTCTTGTTTGTTTGAATTATTAAAGAAAAAAAAAAGATTAGTTTTGATGACTTGTTGACTATTGACTGGAGAGTGCATACATCTGTAGTAGAGCAATGCTGAAACAGCTTCCTACTTCATCCAGCTGTCAAATTAATAGTACCTCTCTGTTTTTTTCATTTTTCATACTCCAATAAATTTTTACTAGAAAATGGGGTTAGAAAGAACGAGTCTTGTTGCCAAAAAAAAAAAAAAAGAACGAGTCTTTTAGCATTTCTATTTCTCGTATCCAATAATTTCAACTTCTAAGCAATGTAGCTACTAGTAAACTAAAATTCCTCTCTTTTTTTTTGTGTGTGTGATTGTTTAGAAAAAGGAAAAGCAGAGAGCAGGGCAGAGCCGGAGAGAATCGGAGATAAGTGCAAGAGTACGGACATAGTGGTGAACCAAGCAGTAACGGAGCCAATGCCTAACGGAATACCAGGTTACATGGTAGAGATAACGAACCAGTGTATGTCTGGATGCATAATTTCGAGGATACACATCAACTGCGGTTGGTTCAGCTCGGCTAAGTGGATAAATCCAAGAGTCTTCAAGCGTATTCACTACGACGACTGTCTCGTCAACAACGGCAAGCCTTTGCCTTTTGGCTCCACTCTCTCTTTTCACTACGCCAACACTTTCCCTTACCATCTCTCTGTCGCCTTCGTGACCTGTTCTTAGGTGGTGGCTTTTCTTTTAGTTTTGCTTATAGGATGAGATAGTAGAAACAGAGGGAAATTAAGAGGCCTTACTAGATACGGAAATATGAGATTAGTCATATTCATACGATACCATCCACTTTTGTTTTTTGGTTCTCTTGGGATGTGAAACAGTGATAGATAAATGAATATATCAAACTCTTTTTTCCCTCTCTATAAAGCTTATCTCACTACCTATTATTGTAGCTGGAAATTGTCAAAACCCTCCTCAGATCCTAGAACTAGCCTATTGGGTCAAGTTGATTGAGCCCTTAAGACCACTAAGAGAAATAACCTCTGAAGCAATCTTTGAATTTGAACATGGTGAAGACTCAAGATTATCGATAAGTTATTACACCATAAACTCTTTCCTCGTACAAGGATAACTTCTGTCCCCATGAAGATTTTGGTTTAAGTTACTACTACAATACCTCAAATTAAATCAACAACATAAGATATGAATCCATGACCACTACAGGACATAAACTAAAACCTTTAAAGACATAACCTCAAACATCAGTAGACCCTTGAGTTACCTCAGGCTCTGGAGGTGGCGGCGTGGTTTGTTCTCCCAGTTTTCCCCAAAGAACAAAAGAGATGCCAATGATGATCACGAAAGCTCCAATTATCCTGATTCAGCAAAGAAAGATGAGTTGAGAAGAGGAACATTAAGAGATGACAAGTATGATACGAAAGCACCAATGCTCACCTCCCGACAAACATCTGCTCAGAGAGTACGACCGAGCTAATGACCGCCGTGACAATCAAATTGATTGGATTGAAGATGCTCACGAACACTGGACCCTTCTTCTGTGCCATCCACCCAACAACGTAAACCGTTATTGCTGAGAAACATCCCTGTACAATGTAGAATGAGTTTCAATACAAATTGTATGACTCAACCAAAAGACTTTTCGATTCAATTCAACTTACCCCATAAAGAGACGCTAACAGTGTTATATCAGGATAAAATTTCCAGGCTTTAGGGTCATTTCTCTCCCATATTAGTGCAGTGACCGTCGATCCAATCGCCCCCATGATGCAGATGAGAGCCGTCAGGGACAGTTTTGCCGGGTATGACACTACTACCTTGGCCTGCAAGAAACATCATATGGATTAAAAGGCAAGCCAAACTTAGTATTATTAAAGAAACATTGTGATCTACTGTTTTTTTACACCTGAAGAATAACATAGAAGCTCCAACTCAGGCAGCTGGACACAATCATTAGCCCTCCTTCTAAGATGCCATCAGCATGCATGTGAATCTTCTTGGCATGCAGCGACCTGGTCCATGGCAACGGAATCACCTGGCCGCTCCAAAATGTCATCATCATCGCTCCCGCAACCGCCACACACGTCCCAACCACTTTTGCTTTTCCTCGATGAGTGTGAATAGACACTTTCTCCAACCTTACAAAAGGGTACAAGACATTACATGTTTGAACAAAAGTCAAAACACACATATTCGTTTGATTAGTATTCATACAGTACTAAATGTCTGAACGAAAATAGAAAGCTACCTGAATACACAGGCCATTACAAATGTAATGGCCGGGATTAGGTTGAACATAGCGGCAGTGAAAGTCGCCGTTGTGAGCTGCATGCCTGTGTAGTACAAGTTTTGCTCCAACAATGGCCTGTAAAAAAACACTTTGATTAGAAAGAACATATAATGATGAATTATGATGATTCATACAAGATAACTTACTCGAAAATGCTCATGATAACTATCTGAGCAAAGATTTTTGTAGTCATTTGAGGTCTTGTATTCCTAGAGTTTTGAAATTCTTATGAGTGCAAGAAACGAAACAAAACAAAAACAGAGAAAAGAATATTGTAGTCGTACCTCTCAAATACCAGCGCAAGGGCTGATAAGATTGTTGCTGCGAATATCAGACGCTCAGCAACAAAGACCCTCGGAGAAAGCTGGTCATCTAGAGCAAATTTTGCAAATATCGACATTATCGCTAAACCAATTTGAACTGAAATCGCAACAACTACGGGTAGGATGTTGTTATTCATGGCTTCTTCTTCCTCCTCTTCTTCTTCTTCTTCTTCTTCTTATTCTTCTTCTTCTTCTTCTTCTTCAAAAACAAAATTATATTTTTTAAAGTGGCCTCAGTACTGCAGAAAATATACTAAAAGAAAAGCTTTAATTATGCTATAATAGTGTGTGGTTCTACGCTTCTTTATCTCCAAGAAGCTAGTTTTGGTAATCTGATTAACGCCATTATGACTCTTGTAACTACCTACCCCTACTTTCTATATGATTGAGTATGAATACAGTAGTTAGCTACTTATACATGTATCTGATTGAGTATCATAACGAATCAAACAATGTATATGATAGAAGATATCACATTTAACCTATTATTTTTGAAAAATCTCAATTGGTTCCGACGTACCTCTCTATTGCTCCCTTGGAGACGACTCTCGTAGATTCCCATCTTCGCCGGTGATTCCACCACTTCCACATGGTCGCTGCTCTGTCGTCAAATCGAGCTGCCTCCAACAATTCAGCTTAATTCCAATCGCCGGTATACTTCGTCGGGTGCAATCAGAAACTCGCCGTTACGGTCGTCTTCATAGCTCAAACACCGGTCACTTCCATCAGATTGACCAGACGGCTTTCGTGTCTAGGGTTTACCGACAGCTCTCTTTTTCCATTGGGCCCTATTATAATTTATCCATCAACAGCCCAATCATTTTGGCGCCACGCGTAAAGCTTGGCCCCTTTTTAATTTTTATTTTCTACTCGTTTTAAATGTTAAAACTAGGTTGTTTTTCTAGTGTTTTGATATTTTTGTTATAGTACATGTGTTTGATTGAATTTAGTTTTATATTGCAATCTTTCTGCATTTTTTCTTTTTAGTGTAGATAAGTACATACCATTGTTTTGACCTTTTTAGTTTATGTTTGCATTTATAATAAGTTGCTAGATTATGACTTGCGTGACTTGTGTCATATAAAACATATCTTGTTTCTAAGACAAATGAATATATTGATGACAAAAAAAAAAAAAGGAAAATATCTACCGGTCAAAGTCGTTGTTCTTCGGAAGTGGTCAGCACTTGTTTCTTTTCTACCTTTTTTCTATAAATAAAAGATATTTCCAGATACGAAAGTAAAGAATCTTTGACTATCTTAATCATTTGGAAAAATGTAACTTAGTATAAAAAGATGGGATGCTAAAACTTTAAGTTCATTTTACAAAATATTCAAAATTATTATAAAAAAATATTCAAAATGAGTGGCTCTTCGGTATTTCACATAATTTTGAATGTCACATTCATGGTTTTTCTCTTTGGTGGTCTCTGTGAGGCTCTTCCTGTGCTAAAGGCGGACATCATTAATGATATTGGTCCAAATGTTCAATTGGGATTACACTGCAAATCGAAACACGAAGATCTCGGAGCACAATCTTTAGCCCCTCATCAACACTGGGGGTTTGGAAAATCTCTTGAATTTTGGGGAACGACTCTTTTTTTTTGTCATTTTCAATGGGGCAACCAATCTAAATGGTTCAATATTCTTGATGGTAACAGAGATAAAAAAGAATGTGATGTCCATCCGTGTGTTTGGAGTATAAGACCTAGTGGTCCATGTAAATTAACAGGTCATACACAATGTTTCCCATGGAATGATCAGTACTAAAACGTTGTATCTTTTACCCAAAAAAAATAAATAAACGTTGTATCAAAATTTTCATATTGATAATCTAAAAAATAAGAGAAGTATTATTTTCTTTGTTTAAGTATATATGTAAATGTTTCATTTTAAATCTCTACTCCCATAATTACATCATGTCTTTGTTCGAGCCTACGTAGCCTTCCTCCATCACTACTCTTCCATTCTGTCCGATTAGAACCACAACTCCATTCTCTGCCTCTTCCCAACCTAATCAAGCCTAAATTGACATGTAAATTCGTTCAATTACCGTAAACTTAGTTCAAAATTTTAACTAAAAAATGTGACAACAACTAACCTGATACAACTTTTTCTGCAAATTCAGCATGCTGCTTTGCGAGGTCATCAATTAGAAACTTGATGTATGTTGTTTCCTCTTCTTTTCTAGTAGCCGCTTTTGAGTGAGATCTCTGAGTTTCGCACACACCACAAACCAACCCCAGCTCACATGGGTAGGGTGGAAGTGCGACGACTTGGAGCATTTCTATTTTTTAGAAATTTTACATATAAAAAGACCAAATATTTTAAAATTTTATTATTAATATAAGAATTATACTTCAAAAAGCCTACTTATTTATTTAAAAAACATAAAAAGCCCCAAAATTTTAAATAATAAAAAAACTTAAATTTTGGAAAAAATAGTAAAAAAATATATTTTTTATAATAATATGCCAACAATTTTTTTTGCCCTAAAACTCCTAAATATATTGGGCGAGGCTGCACAAACACATCAACATGATAAATTAAATAGAGAAGCAACATTAACACCACCGTTTCTGCAAATGTGCACATAAACATAAAATATGCTATGTTTTTCAAAATGAGGGAAAATACAAGAGAACAACAGAAAACGGCTCATCTTGAAATTATAGATCATTTTGGAAGTGAAGGATCAACAACAAAACAAGAACATGAATAGGTGAATTTTCTGTTCAAAGTGATGTTCAGAGCTCATGAATTCAATTCGACACATTCTTTTTTTCTTTTGTGAGATTCTGTTTTTTTGTTGTGCTTGTTTTAGAAGAGCGAAGTGGTTTTTAAGTTGTATAGTGTTTCTTCAAATTTAATTATGATCATTGATGCTTGAGAGCTTGTAAGGGAGTGTAATGGTATTTGAATCGGATACAAGCAAACTATTAAAATATTTGATCATAGAACGTCAATATTTGATCATATAAGGTGGCTGTAAGTGACATTAAGGGGGGTAAACGGAAAAAGGACCAAAACGGTTTGGTCAACATAAAATTCGGGACTTAAAACATCTAATGGAATTTTTCAGAATTTAAATAGCCAATATAATTAGAGATTTAAATTACATTTACATGTGCTATTTCGGGACTGAATTTGGACATTTCGCCAATTCACCAATACAGTACTTTAACGGTGTGAAAGGAATAATGAAATATAAAGGCACAATTTTTTTTTAAAATAGATAGATAATTATCTTCATCACACGTAATGTAATGGACCTAGTAACCTATACAACTTCCGTACATTGGGAAAGTAATAAGAAAAAAAAAACAAAGGAGGGACAAAGAGTTACTTGAAAAGAATTTAGTTCAATTTCTACACATTCAAAGATAATAAATATAACTCCACAGCTTAAAGGGAAGCTTTACTTTACTTTTAGCTTTCTTTTTTGATTTTGTTTTCTTCTGTACCTGAAGAATCGAAACGATGTGTATGATAGATACATTGGTCTTGCTCCCTTCACAAAATGGTGCATGTGCAGATTACCGCCTTTGGTGCTTTATCAACCTTCTTCTCTGTTTAATCAAAAAACCAGTATTCAACTGTTAGTTAGCATTCATCAACATCGTCTCTTATAAATCACAAACTCAGTTTTCACGACTTTGTCAAGTTTGTGAAAAAACTATCATGCAGACAAATCTCAAAGATTGGCATAAGTTTTCAGTGGGGTTTACAAGGAGATGACGACCAATATATAATGGATTAAGGTATTTCTTTCCTCATGGCATGCTTTTGCTAGGCCTAGAGCTGATTTTGTTTAATTTCTCACTGAATATAGAACAAAGAACACACCAGAAACCTAGGAATGAATTCTAGACTATCCTATACTCTCTATCAAGACAAACAAACCAAATATAGACAAAACCACTAACCACCTGATGCATCTAAAAAGAAAAAGAATGTACTGATCCTAGTCACCGACTAACTTGCTGATGTGCATGAACACTCTTATGAAATCTTACCAACCTCGATTAAGATAAGTATGACTAATAATAGATGATAATATATATTGGAAGTAAAGTTGAGCCAGAGAATGAGTATCAAAATCCATACAGGTGACAAGATAAATAACACAAGACTAATGAAATATTGAAGAAGCTTGATATTTGAGAACCTCTAATATACAAGAAAGAAAGAACATTTAACACAGACAAACAAAAAAAAAAAAAAAAAAGGTTTTTCACCTGTTTTGGTTTTAGCTAGAGATGGCTGTACAACAACATGCATGACAATGACTCCACCAGCAATCTCTCCAAATGGTGTCTTACACTGCCCAACAGTCTTGTTGTTCTCCAAGATCTTACCCGAGCTTATCAGCTTCACTTCATTTATCCCCTTTGGAACAACCGTTTTGCCTAAACAAAACCACCAAAAACGAGCATTTAAACAGCTGCAATTCACAAAATTGATGCTCTGGATCAAACCTTAAATCACAAAAGACTTTATAATTCAAGTGAACTAATCATCCAATATCATCTACAGCTCTAAATTTCGCATTTCTACCGATAATTGCAAGATTCAGATTGGGGAACAATCATCATGAAAAAAGCAGGATCAGATTGGGGACACCGATTCAAAAACCCTAAACTAACCTTTAGGCCAATCAGAGACGACCCTCTGCTTCAAAAAATCAACAGTAGAAGCCGCAGAATACCGAAAAGGCCCGATATCGGAGCCATCGTACAACCTGAATTTGATATCTATCGACTCTTCCTCCGGCATATCCGTTGACTTCTCTCTGACCTCCGATTACCACCAAATTCCAGCTCCGATCACCAATCCCGCTTCTCTAAACCAGCCTCAAACACAACTATTTCAGATCTGAAAAAAAAAGTAGACAACAACGAGAATCAGAGCTCGCTTCTAAACGGGATAGAACAAACAAAAAACAAAAACAAAAAGAGGAAGAATCAAATACACAGAGTCGTAGCTTCCGGAATCGTCTTCGGATCTTTGATTTGAGGTGTGAAAAAGCGAAAGAAGAAGAAGGAAGGAAGAAGAAAGAGCTTTTTCAGGAAGAGTCACCAAATATCAAAGTTCCCTTTGGGCAACTTCTCAAACCGACGGTTTTTTTTTTTTTTTTTTCATTTCTTTTCGTCGTCACTTCTACTACTTCTCAAGCCGACGTCTTCTAAGTCAAAAACGCTGTCGTTTTATTCCAATTGACATTTACCCCTTTACCCGTCTAACTAACTGTTCCCACCAGATTTTTTTTTTCTTGTAGAACAATAATAATTCGTTTTCATTAAGATTTTGGCAGCATTGTTTTAATTCTGATTTTAGTAGGGTCTCTAAATCTTTTACGAGTCGGCCAATTTATATTTTGATAACTGAGAAATGGGTAATACTTTGTGATGAAATTCATATTTTAAAGAAATATATAATTACCAAAAACCTTGTTCAAATGTTATTTTTGCAACAAAACAAAACCTTGGAAACTTTTCAATACTTGTTTATACAAGTTGACACTTCACTTGAACTCTATTCTTTCTCTGGTGTATCCTTTAACACCACTAGTGCTTTTTATTTTGTTTTTCTTTATCATTTTACTAGAATTATACGTAGTATCTTTAGATACGGCCAAGATATTTTTTAAAAAGGAAAAAGATACATTCGATTACGTTTCTTATGATTTGAGTTATGCGTTACTTCTTCTCCCAGACAGCAAAGTCAAGGCCTGAATAAGCTAACGCAAAATTAGAAGGAACAAGTGTTCCCACATCCTGTTTTGGTCCAATCTTCATGATAACTTTATCATCAATATTAGCCACGTAGAGATCCGACTCCGCCACTTTGATCGTAACAGAGCTTGTGTTACCAATGCCATTTTTGTTCCTGATCGCCACCAGCTTGGAGATGCTCTCTTTTAGTCCCCATTCTATGTAATGATTATAAAACTGCGACAATAACATCTCATCAAGATTGCAGTTATAAAAGTATATTTCATATCTTCTATAAAATCGATAAACCGAAAAACCGAAAGCTACATACTAAAATGGATATAAGGAAGTTTTTGAGGTGTCTCTATACTTACAATGCAAGGAATTCCCGGATGAGTGAGAATATAAACGTATCCAAGCAAGACTTTATCAGAAGGGAAAGTCCACGTTCTGAAAGTGTCATGGTTGTCTATGAAAGTGACCGCGTTTCCGGGATTGATTCCGATCAGACCAGGCGGTTTTCCCTGCGAGTCCTTTAGTCTCCAAAGCTCACCTTTAACAGCAGACTGTAAGATCCCTTTAGTGGTGAAATCAAAAGCTGTCAACACACCACCACCCGCTTCCTCGATCCACTGTTTGAGACCCGACCGATGCTCGTTTTGATCATAGTCTAGTTTCCCGTCTCCTCCATACTTCATATCGTTCCAGTTCTCACCCACCGCAAAATCCGGTGAAGTATTCTGTGTATCCAAAAAACAGAGGAATTAATCACTGAGGAATTAATGAGCTTCCAACCAAAAATCAACAAGTGAATTTTTCCGTATTTTTTATATACTAGTGTTGGTTCTTTCTCCGGGTATTCATATCTAGTAAGGACGTATGATTTGGTTATAAAATAGTGGGCGTTCCAACTCAAAACCAATCGTAGTAATAGATTGCATTGACTTATTATGTTTCTTACATATTAAATAGTAAATAACACTGTCAACCTTGTATATACTAATAGTAAATAACTCAATCAACCTATGTTACTTATATACTACCAGTGTTGGTACGATTTGAGTATTCAAATATGATTACCTGAACATATAGTTTGGTGACGGAAGATGCATAACCTCGAACATAATCAAATCTCCAACCATGGAATCCTATTTCAGATTTAAGCCAATTCATCCATTCCGACAACTCTTTCTGAACTCTAGGGTTAAGGTGGTCGATGTCAGGCGCTCCATCAAAATCTCCTCCGGTGTCGAGGTTTCCGGTACCGGGAAACTTAGGGTCATTGCGGCAGACGAAGGAAGGATCCCAATCAAGACGATCATCGGAAGTCCCACCTTCGAAGTAACAGTACCCGCATTTATCGTCTTTCCTCTCAGCTGTTCTGTGGTTAATCACTATATCAGCCAATGATTTTATTCCTTTTTGGTTCAACGCTTTGATTAACGATTTCAGTTCAGCTTCAGAACCGTATTTGGAGCTGTTTAGATCGTATAGCTTTCCCGGTAAGTAACCTGAGAATTGAAGCTTACGTGAGTAACAAGATTGGTGTATGAATAATGTAAGAGCAAAGCGGAAATGGAACCTTCAGGAGCAACGGATTGAGAAGGAGGAGGAAGCCAAAGATGAGTGACTCCAGCGTTGGCTATGTCGTCGATGGAGTTGTGGAGAGAATTGTAGAATCCTCCATCTTTCTTCCATGATTCCCAATTGAAACTCTGTTGTCACGATTGAAACAAACCCAATAAGTGAGTCTGTGTATGTAAAGAAGCAAAACTAATTAAAGACGAACCTGAAACAATAAGGTGGAGGAAAACGTGAAGGCTGGGAAGACGATGAAGAAAAGAAGAGAAGTGAAGAGTAACGTATGGAGAGATGTCATTGTCTGATTGTGAATGGTTTGCTTCTTCTATCTGCTTTGTGTGTTTATATTGAGACCCTAAACCTTTTAGGGTTACGTAACCTAAACGACACGGCCTTGTCATATCTGTGTATATTTCTTCATCAGTCTGTTTTTCTTGGGAATGAAATGTGAATACATTTACAAGATTAAGGCAAAAAATCTGCAGAGTGTTCTTCTTGGGAATGAAATGTGAATACATTTACAAGAAATTAAGGCAAAAAATCTGCAGAGTGTTTTTCTTGGGAATGAAATGTGAATACAGTTACAAGAAATCAGGGCAAAATATCTACTCTGTTTTTTTCTTGTGGATGAAATGTGAATACATTTACAAGATTAAGGCAAACTATCTACTCTGTTTTTTCTTGTGGGTGAAATGTGAATACCTTTAAAAGATTAAGGCAAAAAATCTGCTCTGTCTGATCCTAGCTCTAAATAAGTCAAGTATGGTCTCCCTTTAGCTCCATTTGTCACGTTTTGAGTGGACTATGGATTGAGATTATTCTAGGGGATAAAACTATATGTAGAGCTAATATATGTTGTTTGGGCTGTTAAAAAAAGTGATTGGGCCGTAACATTAACTTTTCTTAGAAGAATCATAAAGCCTAGAGGCTAGAGTACTTAAATTATTTATTAGGCGTTAGGGTAAAATAGAGTTGAGAAGTACTCAATTCTGATCAAGTTAAGTCCAGATGAATTTAATTGTAGTCTACAATTCTACATGTTGAGGTTAATGTATTCTAGTACACCAAAAATGATTTTTTTGTGAACTTTTGACTTGTGAATGATCATGTTATTTCGTTACTTTGCATCAAAACTATTTTACAAAATTCTAATAGACGTACATAAGTTTTGTAAAGGATAGTACAATTTCGAGATATTTCGAAACAAAATGATGAGAAATAAAAGACAAGTTTAGAAACCAGACTCAACAGTACAACATTAAGTAAATCACTAATTTATAATATAAAACTAAAATCTTAATTTAGTTTGACATTTTCTTGTCCATCTGATCCTCTAAGTCACCACCATGAGTTTGAACAGGATGACTCACGTCAAGAATAGTCTGCGGCTGAACCGTAAGATCACCAGAAGCCGGAGTGGACGAAAGCTTGACCATGTTGATGGAATGATCCGACACCGTTTTAGGCTTCTCTGTCTCATCAACCACTGGGGCTTTGTAATACTTGAATATGACGTAGAGAACCATTTGAACTGCTCCTAGAAACGCACCCAATATATTTGGAAGCTTCAAATCACAAAAAAAAAAAAAAAGTAATAATCACATCATCAGTAATAATCCCACTAATCATTTTTTGAGAGAGAACAGTGATCCCATTAATCGCCGACAAACTAAAAAACTTTATATAATTGTATGTACTCTAGGTTTCTTTTACGTGATCATAAAATATATGATTGTGAGCATAAAGCAAAAGTAGCGTACGGCTCAAATCATTTATTCGTCGTCTTTAAATAGACGGAATTTGGGCAAAGAGACAAAAGGTGGTGGAAACTCTTTTAGTTTCCCTTAAACATGAACCACCCATAATAATATATGATACTATATATGTTTGAGCTGTCCATTTTCATATGCTTAGCAAAAGATTCAAATATATTAAAAGAAAAAGAGAGACTCACCGCAACGTAGAAGTCTTTAATAGCAAGACCGTAGAAGAGCCACGTAATGGCGCTGATTGTAAGAAACAATGATAGAGAGAAAGGCATAAACTCCACACTCTTTGTTCGTATCACCACTCTCTGCGTCATCATTTTTTATATTTCACATGTTAAAACTATATAATATACGTAAACATAAAGAGATGCTATTACCTGAAAAGGAAAGACAAATATTAATTTCTTTCAATTTTGAGTATATTATATTCTCCATATGAATTAGCATGGCTCTTTTAGATAGACAGACATTTATTTCTCTGTGTGCGTGTGATACATATGTCACATAAGTTTTGTACGTACCATGATGCTCAAAGGAGCTGCGAAAACACAAACGGAAAATCCGACGCAAATCCCTCCAAGGACTTTCTCACGGTTCGATCCTTTGGTTAGGAGCTCGCAGACAAGAATAATAGCAGTAAAACCCAAGAAATTCAAGAGCCCAAGAACCTTCAAAGTTGATATCTACAGTGGTTGTTGATATCATCATCAGCTAAATCTATTTTCGTATAAATGCATGTTTGAAAGTACCAAAATTAAAGAAATGCGATGGTTTAAACGTACTCTAGCTTTCTTGTTAGCATAGGTGATGAAGAGGATGATGTAGATGGTTTCGATGAAGCATCCCACAGCGTTTATGGTAATGAGGAGGAAGCCTGCTCCATCTTTTTGCAGAGCATAATAAATCCATAGCATCGCGCTAAAGAGCGCTGACACGTAGGGAAGTGATTCAAAACCTTCAATCGATTTTTTCTTGCAGATTCTTACAAAAGTTGGCCTGAAAATAATATCCAAAAAGAAATCTTTGTTACGAGAACAAACAAAAAAAATAAAAACAAAGAGTATTTGAGACCGATGATGCTTACACTGGTGCCAAGAAAACGATGAACGATATGATGTTTCCTACAAAATTATACATATAGCAAAGATAACAAAGTTAAATTTGATGTGCACCGACACTAACAATTATAGGATATAGTATATAGTTTTGTATAACTTGACGTTTGTTTATACTTACCCATGACTCCAAATGTAACTGCCATTACGTTGTGAGTTAGAGCCATTTTGGTTATTTTTTGGAATGAGCGAGCTCTTCAGTACCTTTTCTACTTTTGAATGGGAGTATCAGAGAAAACTAACAAAGAAACAAGAGAATGGGAAATAGATAGAGATCTTCCACTCTTGATGCCTCTATTTGAGTTTCCTTCGATGTGAATTAACTAGCGAGGCTAATGGTACACTATATATAGAGGGAGGCTAACATGTGTAAGGATTCCATGCTTATATGCTAGGGACGTCGTCGTTTGGTATAAGAGAGAGAAGAACATCGCATATTGATGGTCTCAGATATTTCTATGGTTTTTAAAAATGGAAAATATTCGATAATTTTATGTGGTATGCACTCTTGGCGTGTATTATATTTGTGTCAAACTTTTATGCCAAACCTTGGTTTATATTATTATCGTAGTCATTTAAGTGACCTTTCTTTTTCCTTTAAACCAAATAAAAATAAATGAGCTTTTAATATAGGCGTTACTAAACTGCAAAGAAACCCTTAAACTAAACTTATTGGTGATTTGTTCCTTTGGCATGACCAATAAAATAAACCCTTGATCGGCTGATAGCTTTCTAGCTAATAACCATCCAAATAAATACTAATATTTAAATTTGATGGTTATCTTTCATCATTGTAGTAAACAAACGTAATCTAATTTTTCCAATATTCTACCAGGACTCAAACTAGCTAATTAGTTAGTTTAGATATTTGTTCTCCTTACACATGTAAGATATAACTATATCTTTGTGTTGCCAACATATAACTACGTTATGTGAACATTATTGATTTTATAAAAAAGCAGTAATCATTTTAAAAATAAAAAATTCAGTTCATGTATCACTTGAATTTAATACTACACATTTGGAGCAAAATTAAAATATTGATTGCAAAAGCTCTAGTTCCCATTCCATCTCCAACCCGAAGTCCCGAACCATGCATGTTTGCTCATTTTGTTCATCATACCAGTAAAAAATGAACGTTTAGATGTCCGCCACGTGTGACATATTTTATGTTGTCTCCGAGCACTCTTGAACTTCATGATTAGGCAGCCAAAATTAGGTCCGTAACTAATTTTATTTTATTAGTTCTCATAACAACAAATAATATCTTGTCCCTGTGATAATGGATATAAACGCGTCGAGGAGAAAGCAGACTATATAAATTGTATAAAACAAAGAATAGTGCGTTTCATCTTAGACGCGACTGTCGCGTGTGTAAACCGTATAGGGTAAGATTCACCATCATGCTTCTTGATGTCTCCACTTGACAACTTTCATGTTAATCTTATTATCTACACAAATATTATCGTATCCAACACCAATCTTCAACTAATTTTAAAAAACAACCCATCATGCTTTTATATTTCTATAATAATATAGTTTCAAAATCGAACAAATTTTTTTAACAAAAATTAGTAACATTCAACTAGTTAAGCTATTGAAATTAATTATACTACTATGATATATTTAGGTTGTAATTAAGTTTTATTGAAACTACCATAATATAATTACTTCTAACTCCATTTATTGTTACCGAAAAAATACACCATTTAAACATAATCAAACTAATTTAATTTTCTGTAGACTAAAATAAACTTGATAGAGAGTAATATTTGAAGTTCAAGCAATATGATAATTGTAATCAACACTACTACTTTGAGGAAGTATGGCAGGTGAGGCCTCATGATCGCCGTCAAATTTTTACGTGTGTCGTTTATGTAAAGTATAAAGTGCGCAGTTGGTCAAAATAAGCTAGTCACGATTTACTTTCATTGTCCTTTACCATTCCAAGACAGATTCTTAGGTAAATGCAAATTCGAATATCACCTGGCGTGATATAGTATCTTGACGGTCCCGATTGTGCCACATGAACCGATCGAGACCATGTCACGATTTCTAAATATGCTGAAAATTAACATGTTTCATGGTATTATGTAAAAGTCCTTATTTGTAACAATTGCTATACTTGTATTATGTATAACATCAACACAATCAATGTACTATTCAATCTAATGAATAATTCAGTCAAAGAAATCATCTCATGAGACTAATGTTATAGAAGTTCTTAATCATTTAGTTACTACTTACTAGCCATCGTTTAATTTTGTTTTGAGGTTTGGCAAACAATAAAATCTGTGACAGATACGGTTGTGTGTGGCTTCAAAACCATATTCATCAGTTTGTGTAAAGTGGGTGCTATCACAAGGGTTAGATTATACTAACATCAATTATTTGATATTTTGTATAGCATTATAGTACTTAAAGGCTTAAAGAAATACAATATAATCAAAAACTAAACTCATAATGTATTTGTACCAAAGTCATCTTTCTTCTCGTTATGGTGTGAACATGATAGTATGCAACAATGATGGCTGGTAAATCAATCGATTGTGATATATACACACATACTTGGTCAAATTGCAATTATGTTGCTTCGCATGAATAGTTCAAGCTAGTTCTTGTTTGGATGCGGATAATAATAATATTACAGCAAAAAAACTAACAAAGTATATATCTCGTCAGGAAAACAAATGAACGACCACAAAAATACTCCATGCAAGTAATTCAATTAGTCAAAGTCAGCTGATAACTAATTACTATATCTTTTAACTCTGTTTTAATTTGTTCGTTCCGTCTCTTCCATCTACTCCACTAACTGCTCTTGTCCAATTATTCCATGACTTTCGGTGTCACCTTTGAGCACATTAGTATCATATAAGTTCGATCGAGACCCTCTATGGTATACATATTTTCTTCAATCGCAAAACCAACATACACAAACACATAAAACGAGTTACATCATTGTAAATAAACTTTGGCAGCAAACATAGCCAATGCTAAATCTTGCGTCTTACACAAATCTAAACTTTTGTTTTCTCTACACCAAACTGTATTTTTACCAACAATGAGATTTCTAAAATTGACAAATCTGAAAACTTTTGTTTACTCTACACCAAACTGTTCGGGTAATGTGTTGTCTGCAGAAACATAATTTATAGTTGATCAAATTTTAATCAAATTGTAATTAAATAAATTATGAGATTAAAAGGGAACTTCATTTGTCAAAAAGTAATATTCAGTTTGTAAGCCTATAGTATCAATTCACATAATGTATTTATAAAAAAATTGCAAAAAGGTAAAATATAACAAATATCACCTATCAAAAGAGAAACTGAAAATGTATGGTTGAAACAAAAAAGCGTTTGAAAATGATTGACTTATGAAAACCCATTTGCATGTTGATTCTTATTTCCACCTTCCGTTGTGGTCTCACTTACTAATTAATCAAAGACAAATTAAATGATTAATATTTTGTTGAATAAAATAAGTAAGTGATTAGCAAATGAAACTTTTGCTTTATGGAGTCTCTGTGGTTCTTCTTCGGTCAAAGGGAGTGGTTCCATCCAACCATGCAGATTCCTGATTAAACGGTTAAAATTCGTTCCCAACCATTCTTTTCCTCGTCCTCACTTTCTTCACTCTTTTCCCGAATCCGAATTCAAATATTGAACTAAGACCCTGAGAGATGTCAGTAATGTTCCATGCAAATACAAGCTACTATATCAGAGAATATTGAGATTGTGTTTATGCAAGTCTAATTGGCTTCATTAAAAATAAAAAAGCAGTTCTTTAGTTATTCTGCTAATTAGGAATGGTGTTTGGGTTATAACACCCAATATCTCAAGATAAATCCCATTGAAAGACAAATTTCTCATTTTTCAGTATAAACTGTTACCCTTAATTCATCGTCCATTTAAAGTGCTTTACCCATTACTTGGTAGATATTTCCCACCTTAGTTTTTTTTTTTTTTAATCTTTTTCTTTTTGTCTTCACCTTTGAAATTCAATATATCGTTGAGTTTAAGAGTTTGACTGATTACATTTTCCTTCACATCACAACCTTTATCACAATAATCTTCCAGAATTTCAAATCAGCAATAAGAAATTTGTCGTATATGAGGGTTGAGGAAGGAGCATCCTTTTCGTTTTATATATCTAAATACTCTGAAAAAAAATTCTGGTCACTTTGCTTTATGAAATTATCGTTAGACCAAAATTAATCAAATCCTGATAACAGTGTTAAGCTGTCATGCTAGACGGTTTTGATATTTTTCGTATTTTTGAATAGAGTTTTATTAGAGTTAGGCTTTCTTCTAATTCCGTATTTTCGAATAGAGTTTTCCACATCTATTTGGAGAGTCGTCAAATCTATGATAAGCCTAATGAGCATGCGCCGCAGGACTAGAAAATATGCATCAAAGTAATCTCCATTGTGGATTGCCTATAGCCCATTTATACTTTTAAATCAACGTCCTAGTCAATTTTGAGTACAATGGACATCGGTTAGGAACTAATGTGTTCCCTCTAGTCACTTATCTCTTAACTTATATCCTGATTCATCCCCAAAACATAAGCAGCCATCCAGAGTTCCAAATCCTTTGTACATAATAAAGGTTGTTGTACCATTCATTAAGGGGCAATGTAGCTCGCTCAGCTAATACCTCTGCATCTCCCGCTTGCTGCTTTCATCACTAAAATCACGAGTATACACATTACACATGTGAAATAACAACTTATCTCCATAGCTCTCTCTCCCATCTGAATTTCCAAGCACTTTCATGCCACAACAAAGATAAATATATATAGTTGATCAAATATAATAAAAACTTAAAGTCTGGTCTTTTATAACTTAGCAGATTCAAAAGTCTAATCTACACAGCCAATGAATGCTAACAATGTAGTTTTGACACCTGATTTGCAGTTAAATATGGGTCAGTACCCAATATCAGCAGGATCACCAATGTACTCGGCAACTTGGTCAAGTTTAACATGAAGCATCTGCTGGCTATCTGCATCGCAAACCACACCAGTTTCCTTATCCAAATCTTTCTCAACCAGTTTCCCATACACACCCTTATGTCTACCAGACAGAACCAACACAGACCCTCCTCTCCTGGGCAATGCAGTCTCAAGCAACTCTTGATCAATCCCTTGAACCAACTCCTGCGTCTCATCCATAGCAACATCACAACTTGTTGGACCAACCACATCAGTCACCTCTGCCTTTTTAAGATACAATCTCCCACCTCTCACATCCTTGCTTATTATTCTCACCCTTATATGACTCCTAAGCCATGAGACCTTCTCTCTAGTTTGACCTCTATAGTTCTGCTTACAGGCTCTAACTTCAGTGCGACTCTCTCCCTCTGTATCTCTACTACGTTTACTCACTACTCTATCTTTCTCAACATTATCTATCTTGTTGAAACCCACTTTCACTTCCTCATGGATTCCAGAACCAAGTTTATCATCTATAATCTTCCCCTTCAAGGCTATATCTCTACCAGCGACAGTTCTCACCTCTTTACCACTTTCTTTCGCTTTATCCATATTGAAGCCAAATCCTTCATTACCAGACCACTTCTTGTACTCAACAATCTTAACATCTTCTTTAGCTTTTAGACCAATCCCCTGGCCTGGTTTCCACCCATACCCAGCAAGTAACGCCTCTCCAAAGCCATCCACAGGAAAGCTCTCGAAATCCTCTAATTCCGGAGCATCAGGGAGTGACTCCAAATCTTTCCTCATGCTTTTCAGTAACAACTTCTCCACAGGCTCTGGCTTCTCGTCATCGACTTTCTGACGCAGATTCAGACCGTACGTAATGTTATCAGAGACATGCCCATCGCCAGAAGTGATCTCAGCCTCGAATTGGAGACCAGAAGCGGATGGAAGCGGGAGATCGATGTTCTTCTTGTAGGGCCTCCGACGATCCTCAATGGGAGGTATAACGTATTTCGGTTTGGAGTAGGTTAGGGTTTCGGAAGGATCGAATTCAGTGACGAACTCCTTGAGATTTCCTGCACCGACGCCGTCTTTCCTGTCGGAATTCAGCCTGACTCTGGATTTGGATTTGGGAGGGAGAGAGAAAGAGAGCTTCATGGTGATGATGAATGTTGTTGTTACCTTGGAAATTATCACGGCGAGAGTCGTCGCTACAGTCTTCTTCATATAACCAGTTTAATGGGCCTATGGGCCATCCCTCATTTAGCACGTGTTTTTCCTTTTTGTTTTGTCTGAAACTTCTTTTATTAACTTTTTAACTTCAGGAAAAAAAAAAAAAACCCTCAGTAAATCTTCTTCCGACGACGAGGGGATTTCGTCTTAGGTCACAGGAGATAATCTTCCGACAAGATATATTTTCCAGACACGACTGAATCTCTTCATCTGTAAGTTTAGTTTCAAAAAACCACATCTCTATTTTACTATTTTTGGTCAGAGAGATTCCTCATAATTCTCTGTGATAAAAAAAACGAAGGTTCTATTTCTTTTGGCTTTTCTGGGTTGATAGTCAATGGGCATGTTATAATAATTTAATAACTAGCGGCTAGCGCAGTGGGATTCCCATTCCCATTAAAAAAATTTGCATAGTTAGTTGCCGAGTAGAGAATAATTTATTAACTTAATTTTAGTGGTATCACTTGGCAAAGAGAATGGCGGGATATAATTTGAAGTCGTGGGTTTCGGACAAACTGATGGTGGTACTAGGCTATTCGCAACCTGCTGTCGTTGAGTATCTCACTGCAATGGGTAAGTTACTGTTCTATTGTTGATTATGGACCTTATGAAGCACTTTATGGATTTGACAATTGGGGTTTTCCTAATGCAGCTAAAAATTCAAGATCAGCTTCTGAGCTAGTGCCTGAGTTGTTGGATTACGGGTTTTCATCCGGTGATGCTCTTGAGTTTGCACAAGACATTTGTGCCAGGGTTCCCCGTAAAGCTGCTGGTGTGAATGTGAGTTACCTAATGAGATGTTATTAAGATTTTTTTTTTTTTCCTTTGTTCACTATGCATAGTGTCTGTGGCTGTAGCAGCTAGTGATATATGCAATAGTTCAAAGTTTATATTTACTTTATCAACTCTGACAGATCTATCAGCAAGAGGAAGCAGAGGCAGCAAGGATAGCGAAAAAGCAAAAAACTTTTATGCTTTTACATGCAGATGTTGATGAAGTCTCTGTGGAGAAAAAATCTTCTGAATCTAGAAGGCCTGACAGAGGCAATAAAAATATTAGAAAGAAAAGTGTGAAATCAGAAGATGAAGATGACAAGGTATAGTGTTCTCTCCTCATCCACCACTTCCCCTTCTATCTGTTGGGATAAAGCTTGGCATCTCTTCTGACAATATTTTTTCCTCACTGTAAAGGACAATGCGCAGGTGGATGTTATAGAAGACGATAGGCGTGTTATGGGAAGGGTATCCGAAGAGGAGGGCTCAGAGGTATGTCTGATGGCTCGTATACTGTTGGGCCATGTTCAGAGTCCAACGACTAGGAGGCTATTTCCTATTTCTCTGTGTGTGTTTTGTGTGGGTAACACCATTGCCTTATCATATCTGATTGTTTGTATATTTTCTTTGGCCATTTATATTGTCCACAGTCAGAAGAGGATAGATTACAAGACCGGAGGGAGAGAGAGGAACTGGAACAACATATCAGAGAATGTGATACCAAACGGACACGAAGGGTATTCTGTTAATAAAATTTGTCATACAATTCTATACTGAACGCTTTACAAAAGTCACATGGAATTAGTTCTTTATTTCCCAGCTTGACAGAGCTAACCATCTGCTAGGTTTTGTGGCCCTTAAGTATGAGTATTTAGTAAGCTAGTTTCTTTAGAAAAGGACAAATTTAATTTGGTTTCTTGGGCTGAAATGAAAGAGGCAAATAGCAATACTCTACATCTTGTTCTATGCTGAGTGTTTAGTGAGTATGATTAACTTATAGATGTGTTCGATATCGTGTGACCTTTCTTTTATTCAATATGCAGTTATCAGAGCCCAGCATATCGAAAAAAGAGAAAGGTACAGCCTGTTATAGCTCATGCATGACACTTGTTTGTATATCTTTGTTGCATAGTGTTATCTTCAAAATTTTTTGTTTCTTCTTATGGTTTCATTTCAAACAAATTGCACTGCCTTACAGAAGAGGCTATTCGAAGAGCCAAAGCTTTGGAAAGCGATGACATTGCGTCGTTAAGGTACTCCTGGTGTTTCTCTTGATGGAAGTTTCCATGCTTTTTGTGCTTGTGGTTATTTCTTCTCCAGATAGATGTCTATACATATAGCAATATTATACATGATTGAAAATATTGTCAAGGATGTCTCTTGTTTTCAACTATTTTCCATCCGTTGAAATTCTAGATCTAATTTTAATTTGCAGTTAACTCTTGACAATGTCAACCCCCTCCCTTTTAACAATCATTGGATTTAGTTTTAATTTGCAGTTAACTCTTGACAATGTCAACCCCCTCCCTTTTAACAATCATTGGCGGTCCTACTGTCTATCTAATTTTCTAAGTATTTTGTCTTTGGTTTGATTCAGAAAAGCCTCAAGACAAGAGTATTTGAAGAAAAGGGAACAGCAAAAATTGGAAGAACTGAAGTACATGGCTTTCCTGTTCTTTTTTTCTTTCTCAGAAACTGTTGTTCAGATAAGTTTTGTTCTTAATTTTCAGTTTTTCTAAATGAGCTTCCCAATTTCCACTGGTTCTGCGTAGGGATGAGATAGCAGATGAGCAATATCTGTGTGGGAGTGAAAAGCTCACTGAAATAGAAACTGACCAAATTAGGTAATCGCCATATCTTTCTTGCACCACGGTGCTTGTAGTCATTACCAACATTTGTCAACATTAGTTGTGTTAGAAAGATATATTACTTATGCATGTATTTGGTACCTGCTAATTTAGCTTTGCCGGATTTGATATGTTGACAGATACAAGAAAGAGCTCTACAATCTTGTGATCAAAAGAACACATGAAGACGATAATGCTGATGAGGTAATGTTTACATCTTCAAGGGTCCTTTCTTGTTCTCGACACAAATTTTCTTAATTTTTTTCCTTGTTTAGGTCATTTTTATACATCTAACTCTAAGTATCTAACACTTGTCTCTATTTTTTCAACCGGTGGGGAGTTCAGTATATTATGCCAGATGCTTATGATCAAGATGGAGGCGTTAATCAGGAGAAGAGATTCTCTGTTGCTGCACATCGATACAAGTGAGTGGAAGATTGCATTGCTAGTAATCCAGCACGTTTTAATCTGATTACATTTGTGAAATCACTCGTATCAACCCCCTTAAATCCTTAAAGGCGTTCTAAAATACTTTATTTGACAAGGGATATGGAAGCAGCTCAAAAAATGAACCCCTTTGCTGAGCAAGAAGCTTGGGAGGATCATCAAATTAGTAAGTTTATATATTAACACTTATATCGTCCATTAATATTGTTTTCAGTGCATGCTGGTGTTAATCACACTGTTTGATTTGGAACCATGATTTAACTGGCATGGTAATGCAGGAAAAGCAACATTAAAATTTGGTGCAAAGAACAAAGAAGCCTCCGATGATTATCAGTACGATTTGTTGCATAATTGTTTCTTGATTTGTGTTCTACTACTTTTGAATTTACTTTTATCTTTGCCTCGTTTAACAATTTGCCCTTGTTAGCTTTCACCGAGAATCTAGGGGACCATATTTCAGGGTTCATATTACTTTTTCTTCTTTTTGTCCATAGGTTTGTATTCGAGGATCACATAGACTTCATAAAGGCATCTGTGTTGGCTGGTGAAAATGTATTGCTCATGATATTCATCCAAATTTATGTTTCGAATTTCTATCATATGCTGAGTTGTGGCTCAATTGTTTGTTTTTTCTTATGCAGTATGAAGATGAGATGCTTCCAATAGCAGGTCAAAATCTTTCGAGAAAATCAGCTTTTGAGATGCTTCAGGTGCTAAGCTTTTACTTTATGTGTGTGTTTCTGAATTTGCATGTTATATTACAAGTTTTTCCTAGCAGAAATGAAAAAAGATATTTGCATTTATCTGTCTGTGTCAGGAGGAGAGAAAAACTCTGCCAATTTATTCGTACCGTGATCAACTGCTGAAGGCTATTGAAGATCATCAGGTGATTCTTGCTTTTGTACCATTGCCTTTTTGTTGGATTGCTTACTAAAATGCTTAAACTTTACAGGAATTTTCAATTATTCAAAATCATCGTAGAAAAAAGAAGTTTATTCCGTATGGATTATAGTATTATTTGACATAGCACTTGAATATTCATTATTAGCAGATAGAATATCATAATAAGTGAACTTCCCAATTAAAGTCATTTCATATTCTACTGTTAGATTATGAAATGATTATATGTTCTTAACGCTCGGTTTATACTTTTCCATGTTTCATACAATTGAGATCCATTTCTCTCATTGTCTAATTGATCAGGTTCTTGTCATTGTGGGGGATACTGGTTCAGGAAAGACTACACAAATACCACAATATCTTCACGAAGCTGGTTACACAAAGCATGGGAAGGTACAACCTACAATTTTACATTGATTTTTCCATATAGTTAAATGCATCTATACTACTGATCACATAAACACTGAACTTTAGTGTAGGATTCATTTAGATATTGGAATGTGGTATCTTCTTTCTTTAGAGCTTTTAGCTAGTTGTGAATTGTGAACAAGCTAAGCTGCTCATTGATTCAGTCTAAAAGTTTTCTATTTGATCAGAAGCAAATATATTAGAGGTGTTGTTGCATTTAGGATAAACATGCTTATGTACGACCTATAATGTTGAATAGGTTGAAACATGTAGAACTATTAGCATAGTAGTTTCCTTTTATTAAGCAAAGCAGAATAATCTTCTTGCAGGTTGGCTGTACGCAGCCTCGAAGAATTGCAGCTATGAGTGTAGCTGCGCGTGTTGCTCATGAGATGGGTGTCAAACTTGGTCACGAGGTATGCTGACTTTTCTTTAATCTTCAAATATCTTCCGTTGCTTGAAACTTTGCATTGTCATCTAGTATTGTCTACAAGGTTATAATTTTGTTGGTGCACCAGGTTGGATATTCTGTTCGATTCGAGGATTGTACTTCAGAGAAAACGGTCCTGAAGTATATGACTGATGGAATGTTGTTGCGTGAGCTACTTGGAGAACCAGATTTGGCGAGTTACAGGTAACAAAGATTCATTCTTAAATTTTAAACATAACTGGACATAAAAGAATGCATTTTTTCTTACTGTTTACCATTCTTTCCAGCGTCATTATTGTGGATGAGGCGCATGAAAGAACTCTGTCAACCGACATACTATTTGGATTAGTCAAGGCAAGTGAAAATTCAAACAAAAGTGTCTCTTTTACTTATGTGGTATAAGAGTTAGATTGTTTCTTATATCATGGTTGTATACTTCTTCATGTAACAGGATATGGCACGGCTTCGACCAGAATTGAAATTATTGATATCCAGTGCAACAATGGATGCAGAGAAATTTTCTAATTATTTTGATGCTGCTCCAATCTTTATCTTCCCAGGAAGAAGGTTTCCGGTTGACATTAGCTTTGTAGCTGCACCTGAAGCTGATTATATGGATGCCGCACTAGTGACTGTTCTTCAGATACATGTTAGTGAGCCACTTGGAGATATTTTGGTCTTCCTTCCCGGCCAAGAGGAAATTGAAAATGTAGAAGAGACGTTGAAGAACAAGATTAGAGGTTTCGGTACAAAGATTCGGGAACTTATAATATGCCCGATCTATGCAAACCTTCCAAGCGAAATGCAAGCAAAAGTATTTGAACCAACACCTGAAGGGGCTCGTAAGGTAGTTCTAGCAACAAATATTGCTGAAACATCACTTACCATTGATGGTATCAAGTATGTCGTCGATCCAGGGTTTTGTAAGATCAAATCGTATAACCCAAGAAATGGTATGGAATCTTTGCTTGTGACTCCTATCTCCAAGGCTTCGGCGACGCAACGAACTGGCCGAGCTGGAAGAACAGGCCCAGGGAAGTGTTTTCGGCTGTATACAGCTTACAATTTCCAGAATGACATGGAGGATAATACGGTGCCAGAAATACAAAGGACAAATCTTGCTAGTGTGGTACTTGGTTTGAAGAGTCTTGGAATTGATGATCTGTTGAACTTTGATTTCATGGACCCTCCCCCTGCTGAAGCTCTTGTTAAGGCTTTGGAACTACTCTTTGCTCTGGGTGCCCTAAATAAATTAGGTGAACTGACCAAAGTTGGGAGAAAGATGGCTGAGTTTCCCCTTGATCCTATGTTGTCGAAAATGATTGTTGTTTCTGAGAAGTACATGTGCTCTGATGAGATAATCTCTATTGCTGCTATGTTGTCTGTGGGAAGTTCCATCTTCTACCGTCCCAAGGACAAGCAAGTTCATGCTGACAATGCAAGGATGAATTTCCACACCGGAAATGTCGGAGATCACATTGCTTTGCTAAAGGTATGTTTATATCCCTCACATTACTTTTCTTGTCAACTCTGTTTACTAATCTCTCTGATTTCCAAAGGTATATAGTTCGTGGAAGGAAACAAACTACTCGACTCAGTGGTGCTACGAGAACTACATTCAGGTATATTTTCTTACCAATCCATTGGCTAGTCTTTTAAAACAGCATTTGTCATGGGTTGATATATTTGTTAAGGTCCGGAGCATGAAAAGAGCCAGAGATATCCGTGACCAATTGGAGGGACTTCTCGAGAGAGTGGAAATTAAAGTCAGCACTAACTTCAACAACTTGGATTTAGTAAGGAAGTCCATCGTAGCAGGTGAATTTGTTAACCTTTTTACTCAACTTTGTTTAGTTAAAACATAATTTGTTTGCTAATTAGTTGTTTTTAAACTGATCAGGTTTCTTCCCACATTCTGCTAAGCTACAGAAGAATGGATCATATCGAACTGCAAAGCATCCCTTGACAGTGCATATATATCCCAGCTCAGGCTTATCTCAAGTAAGTCCACAAAACCTACTTATTATGAATCATTGATAGATTCTTATTGCCTCATTGGGTTCCTTCTTTTAGGTTCTACCAAGGTGGGTTGTATACCATGAACTTGTCCTTACCTCTAAGGAATATATGCGACACGTAAATCTGCGTCCTCTTGGAACTTTGAATGGTTTCACTTTTCTTTTGTTTCGAGTCTACTGTTTTTTGTGCATATGCTAACTTTTTGTTTAATTTCAAAATGAAGGTAACTGAGCTAAACCCAAATTGGTTGGTTGAGATAGCTCCTCACTACTATCAGCTTAAGGATGTTGAAGATGGTAAAAGTTGTTTGTTTAAGACCTTTTGTTAACTACACTACCGCTCTCTATGGCAAAACCATCTTATCATTATTATTAACATGTTTCAGGTGCATCCAAAAAATTGCCTAAGTCAATTGGACGAGCTCCAGCGTAAGGACTTCACTTGTCATGATCCTTTTTCATGTGTCCAATTCACCGCTTCTCTAACTCTACTGATGTTTTGTTATTTTTCAAGTTGTCTCTAATGCTAATTATCTCGTGATGCTACTATATCTGTCATTGTAGATCGACATGAGCATGGTCTTTTGGTCACTTGTATAGATACTTTTAAAGGTTATTTTAGTCATTAATCTACTACACTAATCACCAAAAAGTTAAATTTTCTATCTCTTCACTCTGTCTTTTTATTTTATTTTTCTTAACAACCTTTTTAACTAGTAATTATTTTGTTGTTTTAAAACTGTAAACAAAAATTCTAAGATAAAAAAGCATATATATATATTATATTTTCATCAAACTCTACTGTTTAATTAATTTAATTTCATATTTAAAATTTAAAATTTCACATTTATAGTTATGTTTATGTTTAATAAAGGGATTATATATGTTTGAACTTTAAAGTCAATGGAGAAAATACGCTACATGTTGCAGGTGCTGCCGATGCAATGCAACAGGTCCTTTATATGGTAACTGATAGAAACTATCAATTAAAGTCCCATCAATAGACACAACATAAATTTTCCTTGAAACTTATTTACACTACTCACTACTACACAATGCATTAAAAAATACTTAAAAAAAAGCACATAGTAAAAATATCTTCAGTTATATTTGAAAGTATATCAGTATATGCTAATTATTGGTATGTACGTAAACCCCATTATTGGTATATAAGTCAAGAACGTAAAAAAATAAAAATAGGCAGAAAAACAAATTAATCACACATACAATTTACGCTGAGATTGAGCAGTTCGAATCAAATCCGTGATCAGAAGTTTGCGTGTAAAACTAGTCAAAGGAATCGATTCAAAATAACCAGTAGATTTTGAAATGATAATCAAAGCTTGACGACGAAACTAAAGAAAAATAAAAACCGGGAAAAGGAGTTCTGTTGTTGACCAATCAGAGACCAAAAGACTGGCTTTTGTGGTAAAAAGCAGATTACGTACAGAACAATTTAGCGAGTGGTATGGAATTAGGGTTCAGAATATTTTCTTCTTTTTAGGATTAGGGTTTGTCTTGCAATTTAGGATGTTATTGGACATCTGTTTAATTTATGGATCTGTGTGAGTAGTGTTTGAGTCTCACATATGAATCCTTACATTAACACGTGCATCTATGAAACTTCATGATAAAGTCCGAACAAGTTTTCATTAGGAGCGAGATCTGTTTTGACATCTTAGAAACAAACCTTAACATTAATACGGAAATAAAGACTCGTCAAGAACAAGAGTAGATGATAAAGAAGCTAAGGGAGGAGGAAAACAACTGAGATAAGTAGCAAAAGATAGCATTTCATACTAAAAGAAAAAGGTAAAAATAGTAGACACACAAAGATGCCCGGAGAAGTGGTTGCTTGTGTCACTAACATGTGAGGGATGAATCTACTGTGGGGGTGTTTCTGGTAGCTCTACCGGACTCGGAGGCGGAGATGGGGCCGGGGGAGGCGGAGGTGGTTCACGGATGGTTAAACCTGGCTCATGCTTGGGCTTACCGTAGTTCAAGAAGCCACCATCAACCCACTTCTGCTCATCCATTTTCTTTTGGGTCTCCTCTGGTGTCTCACTCTCAACCTTCTTGATCATCTTCTCATTCTCAAAGGAAGTGTCGCTCCAATCTTTCTCCTCAGACATTTTTTCTCACTTTCTCTTTTTTTTTCCAACTTTAGTGTAATGTGGGTGTGAAGAAAATGTAATAATCTTACGTATAAATAGACGAGGAAGGAGAGGTGAGCAGAGATATTAATGTGAGGAAGGAGAGGTGGGAAGAGATATTATAAATGTGTGTCGATCTTAATCGCTTTACTTTGTGGTGGGATTGTTTTAAGATTTTCTTTAACTCGCAAAAACTTTGATTATTTGGGTTAAAGAACATGGTTTAATCCCGTATATGCCTAACCCAAACGGTCACTAGCTAATTGACGAGGCATCGTATATATCCCACAGTCTAGTTCGCACAATATTATTTTTAATAAACTCATTTTTTGTTTATACCTTTTTTTTTTGGTATCATTTTTTGTTTATACTTTAATCTGAGACCTTTCTTTATGTTGATGGTTAGATAGAAGGTCATGATCAACTTTAATGTAAAACTTCTACATATGCTCTGCACACTTATTTCTCTGACTTTCTAGTTTCAGCTTGCTAAATAAATGGTCTTAAACTTCTTCTTATAATTTATACAGCTTGGATTCGAATCTCACAGTTTCTATATTATTTTCTTTTTTATCATGATGTAGAGGCTAAATGTTACTGTACCAAACTACCAACTTTATATAACTGTGCATTTTCCTAAACTTTTGTTCATAGTTTCATTTCCTTTTGTTTTGTGTTCTTAATCAACATCATATCCACGTGTGGTGAAATTGTTTGTTTACACGAGCTTCACTGTATGATACCACTCAAATATTCAAATGTTTATGGTATATTAGGTGACTTCTAATTATGGGTTTAAGGTTAAACCAGCGAAATTCTATATATTAAAAATCACGAACAGAAATCTGATTAATGGAAGACCAATACGCGGAGACGAGATTTGATCTTTCTACTTAATTCAATAAATCTTCTGTATCGTGGTGGTTTTTGTGAGATTATGAATCCCAAAGATAAGATTATGTTGAGACTATAATCACAACTTGATTATAGAAAATGTGAATTAGATTATATGTTTTACTATATATACTTGTGGAAGCTTTTTTATTCTTCCAATGTGGGATAAAATGCTCATTTTAACATATAGTCAAAATTACATGATTTCTAAGCTTCCAAAGTCTCCACTTTGGATCCTCATTTCTCATTACAAAAAATCTAATAACCCCAAGATCCGGTCATTCCGGTAACAGACTTCACCCGGAAAGTTGCCAGAAATTGGGTCGAGCCATGTGTCAAAATTTATGTTCCAACAAAACCAAGTTAATCAAAGGCCGGTTATACCGAGTTAAGTCAAAAGAGAGAAAGGCTTTGATCGAAAGAAAGAGATTGTTTTCATTCCATTAAAATTAAAGGATGAAACAATGTTAATTTCTGTTAATTACTTTTTCGGTTGTAACAAACTTTACGCTTTTGAGTGGAAGGAGCTCTAGATCTTTCTCTCTTTTATCATAATGAAATTGTTGACAGAAAGTTCATAAATTAGATTATAAAGTTACTATTGGACCGAATCAAGCCTTTAATATCGGTATTGGGCCGAATCTGGCTTTTGATATCAGATCTTTGATTAGAATCGGATCAGACCTTTGATTATGGGCTTTATTAGATTTAAGTATCGTATTAGGGTTACTGTACCGTAACTAAGTGTATATATATATATATATATATATATATATATGTATGTACCCGTCTTATGATTAATAACAGAACCATTTTCACAAAAACTTAGAGTTACACATCGTAATATCTTAACTCGTAAACATCTTAGTTGAGTTTTTTTTCTTCTTCTATCCTGGGCAACAAGTTAGCCAGTCACTGTTTGGACTGAAAGCGTTTCATAATTAATGAGCATACTCATATCCATGTAACGATTTGCACAATGGTTGAGGCATGAAGTCTCGGACCTGATTGGCAAGTGCTTTAGAGTCTTTACAAAACAAAAAAATTTCTAAAGATTTGAAATACATCCAATCAAGCTTTAGAAGCTTTTGCTTTTTTTTTTTTTTTTCTCACAGCCAAAATATTTCCTTAATTCATTTTTTTGGCTGTAGAAAGCTTTTTTTTTCCTAAAGCACATAATTTTCAACTTTCCAAAATTTTAAATTCTACAGCCAAAATACTACAGCAATAAAATTTACAGCCACAGCAAATAAACCTACAGTCATATTTCTATAGCAAAAAATGTAAAGCTATGCATTTATTCCAGCACACGCTTGTCAGCTTCGCCACCATGTCTCACATTCTGTATTTGCGACGTTTTTATGACCAAGTAGTCCCAAAATCGAAGTTTTCTTATAATATGTGGGTAGTCATTAGTCAAAGCATCAACCCTTCCCATGCATGCCTTTTCCTTTTCTTGCTGCTCAAGTTTCACCATTTTGCTTACCCGTTAATTTCTTAAGAAAAATCAGCTTAAAGACATGACAATTAGAGCTGATTTAGATCTTCAAAAATTATACATCGCTTCCAAATTTCCAAAAGCTATTCTCAAATTACAAATATGACTATGAGTAATTCAAATCTAGAAGAGGTATTGACATAACCTGATTTTAATTTTCGTTTACTAAATACAAAAGCAACTCTAGACCTTAATTTCCATGGGATAACTAGAGTTTACAACTTGTTAGCTCTCCCACCAAGTCATCGAACGTTAAATCGAGGATTTACACTAAGGAACCGAAGCATTTCAGGATTGTTGGCGACAGAGGAATCCACATACTGAAGCCCTGAATTTGTCAGCCAAAAACCCCAAAGAGGTTAATACAAAAAAATATATAAGAAAACGAAAAGAAACCCCAATTTCAAAGATATCATGGAGACATGGACTAATTAGGCTCATCACTTGGACTCATAGTAAGGAAATTATTTTTATTGGGCTCAAAGGTCCATTGTTATATATTTTTTTTGGAAGTTTTTTTTTTTTTTTTTTTTTTTGACAACTTTAGATCGACAAAGCCCGATCCATAGTCAATCCCTACTACGCGGGGTAACGCGACTTAGTGGAGTCGAACTCCGGTGGGGAAGGCGGAGTCAAATGGACTTAATTTTTTTGGAAGTTAGTCTTATTATGTTTTACCAAAAAAAAACTTATTATTTTATATTAAACTATACTAATTAGTAGTGCAGGTATTAAAATATATGTTTGAGACACTTGCGCCCATCCATCGCAAATTGATGCATGGTTTTCCGAGACCAAGGGTTTCATGGAATAGGTGTGGTGGTGGTATGGACATGATCTAGCTTCTTCTTTTTTTTTTTGTTAAAATAAAACACTAAAGTTATGCAAGAGTGCACGGTTGTGCAACTGTAGCAGAGAGATATGAGCTTAGAACTATCATAGCTAGTTAGCTGTTAAATTATATCTACGATAAGTATGTTTGATTTGTGGAGTACTCCTAGTCTAAACAGTAAAATAAATAAAGCAATAAAGATAAACACAGTTAAGCAAAGGAGGGCGTGAGCTTAGAAAACCTTTCTAGAAGCTTGTGCTCTCTCGTTCCTTGAAGTAATTTGCTAAAGCT